CACCATACTTCCAGATGGAGTAAAACGAGTGAAACCAGATGAGCGATCAGGTGGATGACAATACCAGCTGAGGGCTCAGCTGGAACCAGGCGAGACAGTGCAGCGTGGGGAAGATGGGAACCAGCAAATAGCAATAAGTCAGGAGAACAGCTGGGGGAGATCAACTGATGCAGCTACAGAACAGGAGAGAAAAGCAATTGGGGGACCAGAACATCCATAGAGCACTTCGAAGAAAACCTCTGGAGATGTTCCACTTGATGCAGCAGATGTGCCTTGAGTGGCATCCGATGGGTGCAGAGAGCCTCCCAGAAAAGGAGATCCAAAAGAGGCCACCATAGATCAGGAAAGAAGACCCAGCCCCAAATGAAACAACACAGATCCCAGAGGCCCACACCAGAAACCGATAATGCATAGAATGTGCACCAAACCCATGATCACACATAATGACAATGTAAATAGAACCAGAAAGATGATGAGAATGGAGCAGAAGAAGAAAACAACTCCCAAAGCACTGCCTAGAATACTAGGCAGCTAGAGCAGACCCTCTTAACCAATCCCTTGTCTGTGCACTCTCATAGCTATAGTCTTTAGTCTGGCAGAGGCCATCATTTGTTGGTCCTGTTGTAAAATTAGTTTACCCGAGCTAGGAAGCATACTACCATCAGAAAAATTAGAAGAGCTACCAGACTGAACTGCATAGGAAGCCAGGAAGTCAACAACTCTATTAGCTTCACGATATACATGCCTAATCTGGAACTGCAACAACCCCAGCAAATCTATGATCTGTTCCATGTAGGTAGATAATTTCCATGGAACCTCAACCATACCTAGAACCATCTTAACCAACACTTGGGAGTCAGACTCCAATATAATATGTGAGGTATTCACACCATAGTTCATGAACATTTTCAAACCATCCAGCAGCGTCAAGCATTCTGCTTGCATGTTTGATCCCATACCATAGTTGACAGCAGCAGCAAGCAGAACATACCCCTTAGAGTTCCTTAAAACCATTCCTCCACCAGATATTCCATTGCTTTTGGAGGCCCCATCGACATTTAACTTCACCTTGTTCCCATCAGGGGGTTCCCATTTAATCCATTTCACCTTAGTGATAACAGTAAATTGAGCAATCCTAAGGTCCAGCAGTATAGCTTTTCCCACTATGCCCTCATCCTGCTTGGGTTTGATCAAGTAAGCTTGCCATTTCAATGCATTAAGCACCTGGAGAAAATTTCCATGACTGTTTGAACACAACCCTTCAAATCTCCTTTTGCACCTTTCTTTCCATAAAGCCCAGAAAATAAGCATAGAAACACCTCTCACAAGAGCATGGCTAAGGGAAGGGCTTCTGAAGCATCTACAGATTCTCAGGAATCTGTAAATAGGAGGCTCCCCAAGCACAATGTGAAAGCCCATAATGGCAGCAAATTTGTTCCAAATAGAATGAGCAAAAGGGCAGGTTATAAAAATATGAGGAACCGTTTCTTCCTCCATACCACAAAAGCAGCATATACTGACAAGACTAACCCCCACACTTTTGATTCTATCATCAGTTGTAACTGCTTTCTTATAAATCTTCCATGTACACAGCTGGGCACTAGGAGGCATTTTCTGATTCCAAATACATTGTGCAATAACACAATGTGCCCTGGTCCTTCTAGTTTGCTCCCATGCAGATTTGATAGAAAAACAGCCTGAGTTTGTATGCCTCCACACTCTTCTGTCCTCCTTCCCTGGAACAATGCCACCAGAGTTACAAATATCCTCTTGCAATTGAGTAGTCAGTCTTTCCTCAATCCCATCAAAATGCCATTCTCCATCATACCATAATTCATTGACCTTAGGAAAATAGGAGGGGAGACTTTCAATTCTGTGCAACAACGGGCCATTCTTCATCCAAGAGTCACACCAGAAATCAGTATATTGCCCATTTCCCAGCAAGACCCTAGAGTTATTCGCCACAAAGACAAACCAAGGTCTTAATATCTTGAGGCTCATTCCAACTCCATTATGACAACATCTCAGAAGGTGTTTTCCTTGAATGAATTTTTCTTTGAAAACTTTAGCCCATAAGGAGTGCCCATTAAGAATTCCCCATACCTGCTTGATTCTGAAAGCAGCTTGAATTTCACCAAAACATCTGATACCCAGCCCACCTTCACATTTAGGCTTAGAAATATTCTCCAAGGAGACCCAATGTCTTCGTCGATTATCCAATTTACTGGACCAAATAAAGCCAGCAATAAGGGAATTCAGTTTCCTCAAAATCCCTTTTGGAATGTTTAAGCAGGCCAGCATATGAATTGGAATAGCACTCAGGACAGACTGGATCATAACAATCCTACCCATGCCAGAAAGCATTTTGGCATACCATCCCTCAATTCTACTTCTGAAAGTTTTTATGATATCTTCAAAGTAACAAAGCTTCACTCTACCTCTGAAAATAGGGCAGCCAAGGTAAACAAAAGGACATTTTTTAATAGGAATTCCTACCAAATCTGCCAATCTCTTCCTCCTCACTACAGAGATTCTTTCGAACAATACATTGCACTCTTAGATTTGCTCACCTTCTGACCAGAACTAGATTCATACTCCCCAATAAACTTCAGCACATTCATCACAAATCTTTTAGTACCTCTCAAAAAAAGCAGAGTATCATCCGCAAACAGCAAGTGACTTACCACTGTAGTACCTCTGCCAATGTGAAAATGAGAAACTAAGTTTTGCTGGTATAATCTTCTCAGTACTCTACTCAGAACCTCCTCAGCCAATATGAATAAAGAGGGAGAAAGAGGATCCCCTTGTCTTAGCCCCCTGGAGTTAGGGAAGTAACCATATCTTTGGCCATTTAAGCAAATCGAGAAATGTTGAGTGCTCAAGCAGTTGTGAATAATTTGATTAAACATGTTGGAGAAACCATAGCGATGTAGAACTTGTAGCAAAAAGTCCCATTCAAGCCTGTCGTAGGCTTTCATCATATCCAGTTTCATCACCAGATTACCTCCCTCCACCTTCCTATCCAGCTCACCAACCAATAACTGCCCCAGAGAAACACAATCCCCAATACCTCTGCCTTGTACAAAACCATGTTGTTCCTCAGAAATCAGAGAAGGCAGGAGGGAAGAAAGCCTAGTAGAAATCAGCTTGGTGAAGATCTTGTATAAGAAGTTACACAAACTGATGGGTCTAAAATCAGAGAAGGAAACGGGAGCATCCTTTTTGGGAATAAGCACCAGTAAAGTTGAATTAACAGATTTTGGCATCTCTCCTCCTTTTAACAAAAAATTAACAGCTGAGCATACATCCCCTTTAATAATCTCCCAGGCAAACTGAAAAAATTTACCTGAAAGGCCATCCGGACCAGGAGCACTCTCAATTGCCATGGAAAAGACAACCTCTTTCACTTCCTCTATAGATGCTTCTGTAATAAGCTTTTGATTTTCCTCCTGACTCACTATATTAGGAATCACAGAGAGAATGTGATCCTTTAGCTCATGACTTTCAGATTTATAGAGTTGAGCAAAAAAATCCTCAGCAACCTCAGCTATATTCTGCTCCCCCTGTACCCAAATGCCCTCCTTGTTTTGAATTCTAGAGACCTTGTTTCTGATCTTCTTGCTTTTAGCTATGGCATGATAAAACTTGGTATTCCTCTCCCCTTCCAAAGTCCACTTAATATTTGATTTTTGCTTCCAATAGATCTCCTCCCTCCTGAGCTAGTTATCTAACTCCTCTTTCTGATTCTCAAGATCCAGAAATGTAGCATTACTATACTGTTGATCCAGCTCCATCTCAGCTACCTTGATTCTCTGTTCTTGGGCTTTAATGTTTTCAAAAATGTTACCAAAAACCTCCTTATTCCACAATTTAATATGGGTTTTTAAATACTTCAGCTTGATAAACAGATTGGCCATAGGGTTCTCAGAATAAAAACCATTCCAATTTTCAGCAATAAGAGTTATGAAACCCTCATGATCACACCACATATCCTGAAATCTGAAATAAGAAACTCTTCTTTGCACTGGATCATCCTTAATGCTCAGAAACAAAGGATTGTGATCAGAAGACCCCCTGGCCCAGTGCTCCACCTCCAAGCTTTCAAACCTCAAATTCCATTCCACATTAATAAAAGCTCTGTCTAACCTTTGCAACATCCTTCTATGCCCCAGTCTATTGTCACACCATGTGTACTTGCTGCCATTAAACCCAGCATCCATTAGCCCCCTTTGGTCCATGAAGTTCCCAAAATCCTCCATGGTAGAAAGAGATGGACTAGCACCACCTTTTCTCTCATCAGAAGATAAAATGGAATTGAAATCCCCCACACCATCCAGGGGGTGCTTGGAGGGATATTCATCCCCAAAAGGTGTCCCCACAATTCCTTTCTGACAATTTGATTACAACTTGCATACACCACAGATACCCAGAAGACCACATCATTCAAGAAGGTCAGTTCCACTGTCAAAGCCTGCTCATGAGCAGTAATAATTCTTATGTTCACTCTATGATCCCACAAAAACCAAATATTCCTCTCTACTAAAGGATTGAAAGAGAATTGGGTCATTCCTATACTTTAGCAAAAGGATTTAATTTAGAAACAAGCAGCTTAGGTTCCTGTAAAGCCACGAAACATACATCATGCAATCTGATAAGTTTCTTTAATCTCCTCCTTTTAGCAGCTTTCTCTGCTCCCCTCATGTTCCATGAAATCAGATTAATCATGAGTTTATAGGGTGGTGTCCTCCACTGGAGCATACTCCATTACCAACATCATGTACATAAAAGGAGCTATCTTGATCCTCAACCTCTTCTATTATGATTCTCTGTCTTCTGGAGCTAGCTTGATCAGAAAAGTACCCCTTGTCTGGGGGCAATCTCTCATTAACCAGACCCAATTGATCATCCAATGTATCCCTTCTTCCTCTCCTTATGTCATAATCATGCTCAACGAAGAAGGAGGAAGTCAAAGAAGGGGCATACAGAGCATAACACTCCCCCAGATTCTCTTTAGGTGCCCTACACCCCTCCCTTTGGATTCCTGCAATAGATTCATTGGGCATAAACACAATATCATCAGCATCCTCCCAGACAGCTAGATCCACTCCTAGATTATAATTACCATTGTTAATGAAAGGATCAGGGGAGGGAGAGGGCAGTGTCTCTAGACAGACCCCAACAACATTTGGAGTATCCAATGTGCTCTGTACCAATGGGTTGGACCCTATATTTTCCAACACCTTGCTCACCCCCATATCATCATTCTGCATTCCCACCCTATGCAGAGCTTCACTCTCCATAGAAGTGGAGGCACTTCCCGTTTGCTGACTCTTTCCCATTCCCTCTCCAATTTGCTGTTGATCACAATCACCAAGGTTTACTTGAGTAGACAGGTTTTGGCCAGTTCCATTAAGCCCATCCACCAATTCATTCACCTCATTCAATGTTGCAATGTTATTTCCTTTTTCTGGATTCTGTTTAGATTGTTGCCCCTTCTCCTGTGCATTACTCACACCAACATCCTCATTTAACTCATTCAAGGCCTCAAAGTTATTCCCCACTCGTGGACCTTGGATAACAATTTTAGGTCTATATTCTCTCCTAGGAATTCCTTTCTACACATCCCCAGCAATAGCTTTCCCTTTCCTGTTTTTCCACCCCTCATCATGGCTCAGGCCATTCATTTTATTAGATTCCTGCTCAACAGTGATCTCCACCCCTTCCTTCTTCTTTTTGCGGCACAAGGATTCCTCATGGCCCTGTTTCAGACAAGCAGGGCAATATTTGAATTCCTTCTCATATAAAATCTTTGCCATCTAGCGCTCGTGCCCCCCCATATCAAGCCAGAACCTCTTAGGATTACTAGCCAGTAAATTCATTTCCACACATGCCTTTGCCACTCCAGGCCTAGAAAGATTTAAGGTGGCATTATCAATCACCAAAATCCTACCAATGGGGCTTAATATATCTCTCAAGCTTTCTCTATTAAAAAGATGGATAGGTAGACCAGGTAGAGACACCCAAACTAGGACTAAAGGAGGTTCGATTCCAGGGAAAAATTCTGGAAACCATTTAAAGAAACGGAATAGAAATCCTTCTGTGTATGTAGAATCCTTAAGCCACACTTTCACATAATCTTCGTAATTGGAAAATCTAATGAGAATATGCCTTGGGTCTAAGGCGCCTACCGTAAAATCCCCTTTCAACAGCCACCTAGAGTTTATAAACTCCTTCACAACACCAAGTGATGGCTTACCATAGGCACATTTGCCTATCAACGTGAGGTTGAAACCCTTAGAGAGCTCATGAGTTTCATCTGGAGACCAGTACATCCCTGGCTCCCCATTGTTGAATACAACCCTTTTGGCAGGCTTAGACGGAGATGCAGAGATAAAAGGAACCGATGTGACAGTATACGGTGGTATCTGAGCTGGTTGGCTGTGTTGGGTAGACGAAGCGGCAAGCGGAAACTGGCTTCCCAGTCCAGGCAACTGGGCTGGTAATGTTGGTAGATCACGATTCAACAGAGAAATATGAGGGAAAGGCATGCTAGAGGGAACATTAGGGATCTGGGATCCCATTCCAGGCGAGGGAAAGTGGATATTTACAGAGGTGCTCACAGTCGAAGGAAGATCGAAGGAGATGTGATATTCGAGCATGACTGGCTATGGTACAAAGGAGGATGAAGAGGCATATGGGCGGTTTGAGTACAACCCACCGGATCCACAGAGGAGGGTGGAATAGATGCTGAAAACGACGGGGAAGGGAGAACGAAATCCCTGTTCGTGGGTTTCTTGAACAGAGATGCGAAATTTTTGGTTACGTCTGGCGGTTTGGGAGGGAAATTCAAAGAATTTGTTGGGATTGTGGTGGGAATCCGAGAAATATCAGGCGGCTTAGGTGGAATTTTGCACAAATTCTGGGTAGAAACCATAATAAATACACAGATCTGTCAAAATAGAGAAGAAACAATGGCAAGAAAAAGAAGAGAGAAGTGAGAGTTTCTCTCACTCTAAACCCTAAACCCTAAACCCTAAACCCTCTTCTTCTTTTTTTAAAGTAAGTGCCATATATGAAAAGAAAATTACAAGAAACAAAGAGGGGAAACAAAAGGGGGTACAAAAAGGGGGTGGAATCCTGAAAAGGTTTACAGCCTTCAAACAAAAGGAAAATACAATGAAGAACAAGAGCCACCACCATACTTCCAGATGGAGTAAAACGAGTGAAACCAGATGAGCGATCAGGTGGATGACAATACCAGCTGAGGGCTCAGCTGGAACCAGGCGAGACAGTGCAGCGTGGGGAAGATGGGAACCAGCAAATAGCAATAAGTCAGGAGAACAGCTGGGGGAGATCAACTGATGCAGCTACAGAACAGGAGAGAAAAGCAATTGGGGGACCAGAACATCCATAGAGCACTTCGAAGAAAAACCTCTGGAGATGTTCCACTTGATGCAGCAGATGTGCCTTGAGTGGCATCCGATGGGTGCAGAGAGCCTCCCAGAAAAGGAGATCCAAAAGAGGCCACCATAGATCAGGAATAGAAGACCCAGCCCCAAATGAAACAACACAGATCCCAGAGGCCCACACCAGAAACCGATAATGCATAGAATGTGCACCAAACCCATGATCACACATAATGACAATGTAAATAGAACCAGAAAGATGATGAGAATGGGAGCAGAAGAAGAAAACAACTCCCAAAGCACTGCCTAGAATACTAGGCAGCTAGAGCAGACCCTCTTAACCAATCCCTTGTCTGTGCACTCTCATAGCTATAGTCTTTAGTCTGGCAGAGGCCATCATTTGTTGGTCCTGTTGTAAAATTAGTTTACCCGAGCTAGGAAGCATACTACCATCAGAAAAATTAGAAGAGCTACCAGACTGAACTGCATAGGAAGCCAGGAAGTCAACAACTCTATTAGCTTCACGATATACATGCCTAATCTGGAACTGCAACAACCCCAGCAAATCTATGATCTGTTCCATGTAGGTAGATAATTTCCATGGAACCTCAACCATACCTAGAACCATCTTAACCAACACTTGGGAGTCAGACTCCAATATAATATGTGAGGTATTCACACCATAGTTCATGAACATTTTCAAACCATCCAGCAGCGTCAAGCATTCTGCTTGCATGTTTGATCCCATACCATAGTTGACAGCAGCAGCAAGCAGAACATACCCCTTAGAGTTCCTTAAAACCATTCCTCCACCAGATATTCCATTGCTTTTGGAGGCCCCATCGACATTTAACTTCACCTTGTTCCCATCAGGGGGTTCCCATTTAATCCATTTCACCTTAGTGATAACAGTAAATTGAGCAATCCTAAGGTCCAGCAGTATAGCTTTTCCCACTATGCCCTCATCCTGCTTGGGTTTGATCAAGTAAGCTTGCCATTTCAATGCATTAAGCACCTGGAGAAAATTTCCATGACTGTTTGAACACAACCCTTCAAATCTCCTTTTGCACCTTTCTTTCCATAAAGCCCAGAAAATAAGCATAGAAACACCTCTCACAAGAGCATGGCTAAGGGAAGGGCTTCTGAAGCATCTACAGATTCTCAGGAATCTGTAAATAGGAGGCTCCCCAAGCACAATGTGAAAGCCCATAATGGCAGCAAATTTGTTCCAAATAGAATGAGCAAAAGGGCAGGTTATAAAAATATGAGGAACCGTTTCTTCCTCCATACCACAAAAGCAGCATATACTGACAAGACTAACCCCCACACTTTTGATTCTATCATCAGTTGTAACTGCTTTCTTATAAATCTTCCATGTACACAGCTGGGCACTAGGAGGCATTTTCTGATTCCAAATACATTGTGCAATAACACAATGTGCCCTGGTCCTTCTAGTTTGCTCCCATGCAGATTTGATAGAAAAACAGCCTGAGTTTGTATGCCTCCACACTCTTCTGTCCTCCTTCCCTGGAACAATGCCACCAGAGTTACAAATATCCTCTTGCAATTGAGTAGTCAGTCTTTCCTCAATCCCATCAAAATGCCATTCTCCATCATACCATAATTCATTGACCTTAGGAAAATAGGAGGGGAGACTTTCAATTCTGTGCAACAACGGGCCATTCTTCATCCAAGAGTCACACCAGAAATCAGTATATTGCCCATTTCCCAGCAAGACCCTAGAGTTATTCGCCACAAAGACAAACCAAGGTCTTAATATCTTGAGGCTCATTCCAACTCCATTATGACAACATCTCAGAAGGTGTTTTCCTTGAATGAATTTTTCTTTGAAAACTTTAGCCCATAAGGAGTGCCCATTAAGAATTCCCCATACCTGCTTGATTCTGAAAGCAGCTTGAATTTCACCAAAACATCTGATACCCAGCCCACCTTCACATTTAGGCTTAGAAATATTCTCCAAGGAGACCCAATGTCTTCGTCGATTATCCAATTTACTGGACCAAATAAAGCCAGCAATAAGGGAATTCAGTTTCCTCAAAATCCCTTTTGGAATGTTTAAGCAGGCCAGCATATGAATTGGAATAGCACTCAGGACAGACTGGATCATAACAATCCTACCCATGCCAGAAAGCATTTTGGCATACCATCCCTCAATTCTACTTCTGAAAGTTTTTATGATATCTTCAAAGTAACAAAGCTTCACTCTACCTCTGAAAATAGGGCAGCCAAGGTAAACAAAAGGACATTTTTTAATAGGAATTCCTACCAAATCTGCCAATCTCTTCCTCCTCACTACAGAGATTCTTTCGAACAATACATTGCACTCTTAGATTTGCTCACCTTCTGACCAGAACTAGATTCATACTCCCCAATAAACTTCAGCACATTCATCACAAATCTTTTAGTACCTCTCAAAAAAAGCAGAGTATCATCCGCAAACAGCAAGTGACTTACCACTGTAGTACCTCTGCCAATGTGAAAATGAGAAACTAAGTTTTGCTGGTATAATCTTCTCAGTACTCTACTCAGAACCTCCTCAGCCAATATGAATAAAGAGGGAGAAAGAGGATCCCCTTGTCTTAGCCCCCTGGAGTTAGGGAAGTAACCATATCTTTGGCCATTTAAGCAAATCGAGAAATGTTGAGTGCTCAAGCAGTTGTGAATAATTTGATTAAACATGTTGGAGAAACCATAGCGATGTAGAACTTGTAGCAAAAAGTCCCATTCAAGCCTGTCGTAGGCTTTCATCATATCCAGTTTCATCACCAGATTACCTCCCTCCACCTTCCTATCCAGCTCACCAACCAATAACTGCCCCAGAGAAACACAATCCCCAATACCTCTGCCTTGTACAAAACCATGTTGTTCCTCAGAAATCAGAGAAGGCAGGAGGGAAGAAAGCCTAGTAGAAATCAGCTTGGTGAAGATCTTGTATAAGAAGTTACACAAACTGATGGGTCTAAAATCAGAGAAGGAAACGGGAGCATCCTTTTTGGGAATAAGCACCAGTAAAGTTGAATTAACAGATTTTGGCATCTCTCCTCCTTTTAACAAAAAATTAACAGCTGAGCATACATCCCCTTTAATAATCTCCCAGGCAAACTGAAAAAATTTACCTGAAAGGCCATCCGGACCAGGAGCACTCTCAATTGCCATGGAAAAGACAACCTCTTTCACTTCCTCTATAGATGCTTCTGTAATAAGCTTTTGATTTTCCTCCTGACTCACTATATTAGGAATCACAGAGAGAATGTGATCCTTTAGCTCATGACTTTCAGATTTATAGAGTTGAGCAAAAAAATCCTCAGCAACCTCAGCTATATTCTGCTCCCCCTGTACCCAAATGCCCTCCTTGTTTTGAATTCTAGAGACCTTGTTTCTGATCTTCTTGCTTTTAGCTATGGCATGATAAAACTTGGTATTCCTCTCCCCTTCCAAAGTCCACTTAATATTTGATTTTTGCTTCCAATAGATCTCCTCCCTCCTGAGCTAGTTATCTAACTCCTCTTTCTGATTCTCAAGATCCAGAAATGTAGCATTACTATACTGTTGATCCAGCTCCATCTCAGCTACCTTGATTCTCTGTTCTTGGGCTTTAATGTTTTCAAAAATGTTACCAAAAACCTCCTTATTCCACAATTTAATATGGGTTTTTAAATACTTCAGCTTGATAAACAGATTGGCCATAGGGTTCTCAGAATAAAAACCATTCCAATTTTCAGCAATAAGAGTTATGAAACCCTCATGATCACACCACATATCCTGAAATCTGAAATAAGAAACTCTTCTTTGCACTGGATCATCCTTAATGCTCAGAAACAAAGGATTGTGATCAGAAGACCCCCTGGCCCAGTGCTCCACCTCCAAGCTTTCAAACCTCAAATTCCATTCCACATTAATAAAAGCTCTGTCTAACCTTTGCAACATCCTTCTATGCCCCAGTCTATTGTCACACCATGTGTACTTGCTGCCATTAAACCCAGCATCCATTAGCCCCCTTTGGTCCATGAAGTTCCCAAAATCCTCCATGGTAGAAAGAGATGGACTAGCACCACCTTTTCTCTCATCAGAAGATAAAATGGAATTGAAATCCCCCACAACCATCCAGGGGGTGCTTGGAGGGATATTCATCCCCAAAAGGTGTCCCCACAATTCCTTTCTGACAATTTGATTACAACTTGCATACACCACAGATACCCAGAAGACCACATCATTCAAGAAGGTCAGTTCCACTGTCAAAGCCTGCTCATGAGCAGTAATAATTCTTATGTTCACTCTATGATCCCACAAAAACCAAATATTCCTCTCAGCTAAAGGATTGAAAGAGAATTGGGCCATTCCTATACTCTTAGCAAAAGGATTTAATTTAGAGACAAGCAACTTAGGTTCCTGTAAAGCCACGAAACATACATCATGCAATCTGATAAGCTTCTTTAATCTCCTCCTTTTAGCAGCTTTCTCTGCTCCCCTCATGTTCCATGAAATCAGATTAATCATGAGTTTATAGGGTGGTGTCCTCCACTGGAGCATACTCCATTACCAACATCATGTACATAAAAGGAGCTATCTTGATCCTCAGCCTCTTCTATTATAATTCTCTGTCTTCTGGAGCTGACTTGATCAGAAGAGTACCCCTTGTCTAAGGGCAATCTCTCATGAACCAGACCCATTTGATCATCCAATGTATCCCCTCTTCCTTTCCTTATGTCATAATCATGCTCAACGAAGAAGGAGGAATTCAAAGAAGGGGCATACAGAGCAAAACATTCCCCAGATTCTCTTTAGGTGTCCCACACCCCTCTCTTAGGATTCCTGCAATAGGTTCATTGGGCATTAACACAACAGCATCAGCATCCTCCCAGACAGCCAGATCCACTCCTAGATTATAATCATCCTTGTTAATGAAAGGATCAGGGGAGGAAGAGGGCAGTGTCTCTAGACTGACCCCAACAACATTTGGAGTATCCAATGTGCTCTGTACCAAAGGGCTGGACCCTATTTTTTCCAACACCTTGCTCACCCCCATCCCATCATTCTGCAATCTCACCCTATGCTGAGTTTCCCTCTCCATAGAAGTTGGGGCATCTCTTGTTTGCTGACTCTTAGCCATAACCTCTCCAATTTGTTGTTGAACACAGTCACCAAGGGTTACTTGGGTAGATAGATTTTGGTCTATTCCATTAAGCCCATCCACCAATTCATTCTCCTCATTCAATGCTGCAATGTTATTTCCTTTTTCTGGATTCTGTTTATATTGTTGCCCCTTCTCCTGTGCATTACTCCCATCAACATCCTCATTTAACTCATTCAAGGCCTCAAAGTTATTCCCCACACTTGGACCTTGGAAAACAATTCTAGGTCTATATTCTTTCCTAGGAATTCCTTTCTGCACATCCCCAGCAATAGCTTTCCCTTTCCTGTTTTTCCACCCTTCATCATGGCTCAAGCCATTCATTTTATCAGTTTTCTGCTCAACAGTGACCTCCACCCCTTCCTTCTTCTTTTTGCGGCACAAGGATTCATCATGACCCTGTTTCAGACAAGCAGGGCAATATTTGAAATCCTTCTCATATACAATCCTTTGCCATCGAGCGCTCATGCCCCCCATATCAAGCCAAAACCTCTTAGGATTACTAGCCAGTAAATTCATTTCCACACATGCCCTTGCCACTCCAGGCCTAGAAAGATTTAAGGTGGCATTATCAATCACTAAAATCTTACCAATAGGGCTTAATATATCTCTCAGGCTTTCTCTATTAAAAAGATGGATAGGTAGACCAGGTAGAGACACCCAAACTGGAACTAAAGGAGGTTCAATTCCAGGGAAAAACTCTGGAAACCATTTAAAGAAACGGAATAGAAATCCTTCAATGTATGTAGAATCCTTAAGCCACACTTTCACATAATCTTCGTAGTTGGAAAATCTAATGAGAATATGCCTTGGGTCTAAGGCGCCTACCGTAAAATCCCCTTTCAACAGCCACCTAGAGTTTATAAACTCCTTCACAACACCAAGAGATGGCTTACCATAGGCACATTTGCCTATCAACGTGAGGTTGAAACCCTTCGAGAGCTCTTGAGTTTCATCTGGAGACCAGTACATCCCTGGCTCCCCATTATTGAAAACAACCCTTTTGGCAGGCTTAGACTGAGTTGTAGAGATAAAAGGAACCGAAGTGACCGTATCTGGTGGTATCTGAGCTTGTTGGCTGTGTTGGGTAGTCGAAGCGACCAGCAGAAACTGGTTTCCCTGCCCAGGCAACTAGGTTTGTAATGCTGGTAAATCACGATTTATCAGAGAAACATGAGGGAACGGAACGCTAGAGGGAACATTAGGGATTTGGGATCCCATTCCAGGCGAGGGTATTTGAATATTTGCAGAGGTGCTCACAGTCGAAGGAAAAATCGATGGAGAGGTAATATTCGAGCATGACTGATTATGGTACAAAGGAGGATGAAGAGGCATATGGAAGGTTTGAAAACAGCTCACCGAATTCACAGAGGATGGTGGAATAATAGCTGAAGCAGACGGGGAAGGGAGAAAGATTTCCCTGTTTGTGGGTTTCTTGAACAGAGAAGCAAAGTTTTTGGCTATGTTTGGCGGTTTGGGAGGGAAATTCAAAGAATTTGTTGGGGTTGAGATGGGAACCCGAGAATCATCATGCGGCTTAGGAGGAATTTTGCACAAATTCTGGGTAGAATCCATAATAAATGCACAAATCTGTCAAAATGAAGAAGCAACAGTGGCAAAAATAAGGTAGAGAGAAGTGAGAGTTTCTCTCACTAGAAAACTTTTCCTGCCTCCTCTAAACCCTAAACCCTAACCCCTAACCCTAAACCCTAAACCCCTAACCCTAAACCCTAAACCCTAAATCCTAAACCCTCAACCCTCAACCCTCAACCCTCAATCCTAAATCCTAAACCCTAAACCCTCAACCCTCAACCCTCAACCCTCAACCCTAAACCCTAAACCCTAAAACCCTAAACCATAAACCATAAACCCTAAACCCTAAAACCATAAACCCTAAACCCTAAATCCCTAAACCCTAAACCCTAAACCCTAAAACCCTAAACCCTAACCCCTAACCCCTAACCCCTAAACCCTAAAATATTGTTTCCCTTCGTAGTTGGATGACTTCCTGCCCTAACCTTTCGTTACAGTTTAGACCTTGCTAGAGGATGATTCATGAATTTTTATGTGAATAAACTAGTTGGGGATTCATGAATTCTTTACAACTCCGCAAAAATCAGCTTAATTAGAGATCAGAGTAAAAAGTTATGTCATAAATATTAAAGTTGGGGAATTACTTTTCCTTCAGTTGGCGATTGACAACCTACACCAAACTTGCATCATTTTTTCGACCTTGATAGAGGATGATTTTTGACTTTTGATCTCAATAAATTGGGTAGGGTTTCAAATTCTCTTAATAATGCCGCAAGAAATTGCTCAATTAGAGGTGGATGACTTATTACACCAAACTTGCATTACAATTTCGACAATGTAATTTGAGGATTCATGAATTTTTATCATAGTAAATTGGTTAGGCTTTCAATTACTCTTTAGAATTCCAGTGGAATCAGCCCATTCGGAGATCAGAGGAAAAAGTTATGTCAGAAATATTGGTTTCCTTCAGAGTTAAATGACTTACTTCCCCAACCTTTCGTTGCAGTTTAGACCTTGCTAGAGGATGATTCATGAATTTTGATGTGAATAAACTGGTTGCGGATTCAAGAATTCTTTACAACGCCGCAAGAATCAGCTTAATCAGAGAGCAGAGTAAAAAGTTATGTCAGAAATACTAAGGTAGGGGAATTACTTTTCTTTCAGGAGGCGATCGACAAGCTACACCAAACTTGCATCACAATTTTGACCTTGATAGAGGGTGATTCGTGAATTTTGATCGCAATAAATTGGGTAGGGTTTGAAATTCTTTTTATAATGCCGCAAGAAATAGCTCAATTGGAGTTCAAAAAAAAAAGTTATGTTAGAAATACAGTTTCATTTTGGAGGTGGATGACTTATTATACCAAACTTGCATTACAATTTAGACCATGTAATTGGAGCATTCATGAATTTTGATCATACTAAATGGATTAGGCATTCAATTACTCTTTAGAATTCCACTGGAATCAACTCAATCGGAGATCGAAGGAAAAAGTTATGTCAGAAATACTGTTTCCTTTTGTAGTTGGATGACTTATTACCTCAATATTTCGTTACAGTTTAGGCCTTGCTGAAGGATGCTTCATGAATTTTGATGAGAATAGACTGTTTGGGGATTCAAGAATTCTTTACAATGCCGCAAGAATCAGCTTAATCGAAGATCAGAGTAAAAAGTTATGTCATAACTACTAAAGTAGACGAATTACATTTCCTTCAGGAGGCGATTGACAAGCTACACCAAACTTGCATCACAATTTCAACCTTGAAAGATGATGATTCATGAATTTTGATCTCAAAAAATTGGGAAGGGTTTAAAGTTCTTTTTGTAATGCCGGAAGAATTAGCTCAATCAGAGTTCGGAAGAAAAAGTTATATTAGAAATACAGTTTCATTTTGGAGGCAGATGACTTATTACACCAAACTTGCATTACAATTTCGACCTTGTAATTGGAGGATTCACAAATTTTGATCAGAGTAAACTGATTAGGCATTCAATTACTCTTTAGAATTCCACTGAAATTATCTCAATCAGAGATCAGAGGAAAAAGTTATGTCAGAAATATTGTTTCCCTTTGTAGTTGGATGACTTACTACCCCAACATTTCGTTACAGTTTATTCCTTTCTAGAGGATGATTCATGAATTTTGATGTGAATAAACTATCTAGGGATTCAAGAATTCTTTACAATGCCGTAAGAATCAACTTAATCAGAGATCAGAGTAAAAAGTTATGTCATAAATACTAAAGTAGGAAAATTACTTTTCCTTCAGGAGGCGATTGACAAGGTACACCAAATTTGCATCACAATTTTGTCCTTAAAAGAGGATGATTAATGAATTTTGATCTCAATAAATTGGGTAGGGTTTAAATTTCTCTTTATAATGCCCCAGGTATTAGCTCAATCGGAGTTTAGACGAAAAAGTTATTTCAGAAATACAGTTTTATTTTGTTGGCTGATGACATATTACCCCAAACTTGCATTACAGTTTCGACCATGTAATTAGAGGATACAAGAATTTTGATCATAGTAAACTGATTAGGCATTCAATTATTCTTTAGAATTCCACCAGAATCAGCTTAATCGGAGATTGGAGGAAAAAGTTATGTCAAAAATATTGTTTCCCTTCGGAGTTAGATGACTTACTACCCCAATCTTTCGTTATAGTTTAGACCTTGCTAGAGGATGATTCATGAATTTTGATATGAAAAAACTGGTTGGGGATTCCAGAATTCTTTACAATGCCACAATAATCAGCTTTATCGGAGAACTGAGTAAAAATTATGTCAGAAATACTAAAGTAGGAGAATTACTTTTCCTTCTAGAGGCGATTGAAAAGCTGCATCAAACTTGCATAACAATTTTGACCTTGATAGAGGTTGATTCGTGAATTTTGATCTTAATAAACTGGGTAGGGTTTTTTTGTTCTCTTTATAGTGCTGCAAGAATTAGCTCAATCGAAGTTGGGGAGAAAAGGTTATGTCAGAAATACAGTTTCATTTTGGAGGCAGATGACTTATTACACCAAACTTGCCTTTCAATTTCGACCATGTAATTGGAGGATTCATGAATTTTGATCATAGTAACTGATTAGACATTCAATTACTCTTTAGAATTCCACCAGAATCAGCTCAATTGGAGATCAGAGGAAAAAGTTATGTCAGAGATACTGTTTCCCTTCAGAGTTGGATAGCTTACTATACCAACCTTTTGTTATAGTTTAGACTTTGCTAGAGGATGATTCATGAATTTTTATGTGGATAAACTAGTTGGGGATTCATGAATTCATGAATTCTTTACAAAGCCGCAAGAATCATCTTAATCGATGGTCAGAGTAAAAATTTATGTCAGAAATACTAAAGTCGGGGAATTACTTTTCTTTCAGGAGGCGATTGACAAGCTACACCAAATTTGCATTACAATTTCAGACTTGATAAAGGTTGATTTGTCAATTTTGATCTGAATAAACTGGGTAGGTTTTAAAGTTCTCTTTATAATGCCGCAAAAATTAGCTCAATTGGAGTTCAAAAGAAAAAGTTATGTCAGAAATACAATTTTATTTTGGAGGCGGATAACTTATTACACTAAATTTGCATTACAATTTTGACCATGTAATTGGAGGATTCACGAATTTTGATCATATTAAACTGATTAGGCGTTCATTTACTCTTTTGAATTCCACCGGAATTAGCTCAATCGAAAATCGGAGGAAAAAGTTATGTCAGAAATACTATTTTCCTTCTAAATTGGATGACTTACTACCCCAACCTTTTGTTATAGTTTAGACCTTGCTAGAGGATGATTCATGAATTTTGATGTGAATACTCTTGTGGGGGATTAAAGAATTATTTACAATGCCTCCAGAATCAGCTTAATCGAAGATCAGAGTAAAAAGTTATGTCAGAAATACTAAGGTAGGGGAATTACTTTTCTTTCAGGAGGCGATCGACAAGCTACACCAAACTTGCATCACAATTTTGACCTTGATAGAGGGTGATTCGTGAATTTTGATCTAAATAAACAGGGTAGGGTTTGAAGCTCTCTTTACAATGCCGCAAGAATTAGCTCAATCGGAGTTCGAAAGAAAAAGTTATGTCAGAAATACAGTTTCATTTTGGAGGCGGATGACTTAATACACCAAACTTGCATTACAATTTTGACCATATAATTGAAGGATTCACGAATTTTGATCATAGTAAACTGATTAGACATTCAATTACTCTTTTGAATTTCACTGGATTTAGCTCAATCGGAGATTGAAGGAAACCTGGGAATCAGACTCAATCACAATCTGATATTCCTCCAAACTATACTAGAAAATCAATTTTAGTCCATCTAACAGTGCTCTGCACTCTGCCTACAAGTTAGAACCTAGGCCATAAAAAAGTAGCAGCCGCAAGGAACACATGCCCCTCATGATTCCTGAGAACCATGCCACCTCCAGCTAAGCCACTTGAACCTTGGAAGCACCATCCACATTTAATTTCAAAACACCCTCAAAAGGAGGTTTCCATTTGACCCAAAAAATCTTGGTTACCACAAAAAAAAAAAAATTCAAATATAACCCATTGCCTATCCTTGCTTGTTTCATTTAAAAATACTTATTATTATGTAAAAGGGCAAGGTTTATGGCCACCCCACCTTTAAATTTTGGTTATTAATAAATTTTTTCCATACAAGGGCTTAATTTAAAAAAAAAATTAGGTGAGGCATAGGTAGGTTGTAGATTGGGAAGATCTAGTGGCTTTGGTGGAATATTTGTTTGATTTGTTGAAGAACTCATAAACTTTAGAAATATCCTAGAGAGAAGGCAGAGCTTCTCTCTCTAGAATAATCAAAATACTTCCCTCTTTTAAATGCTAAATCTTAAATCCTAAACCCTAAAAAAAACCCTAAACCTTGAAACCCAAACTCCTAAACCCTAAACCCTGAAATCCAAACTCCTAAGCCCCAAACCCTAAACTCTAAACCCAATTCACTAGTTTGACGGATTAACCCGTTGAGCTAGACTGAACCAGTTTTTGAAACACTGATTTTTAGAGTTACGCCAAACAAAATTAGGAGTTCAACTTGGGCGGACCAATTCGAAGTTAACCCTAGCCCAACCCAAAAAAAAACAGGGTTTGGGTTAAAATTTTTAATACTTTGGTTGAGTCTGGACAGAAAATCCGAATTGAATTTGGACAAGCCTCGAGTTAAAGCCTCGAACTGTCGGGTTCAACTCAAAAATACATAAATATATAAATATATTTAATGAGGGTTAGTATTTATCTTCACTCTTCGAAGTTCAGACTTTCACTTCGCTTCAAGTCTTCACCTCTGCAACTCCATAAACTTTCACTTCACTTTAAGTATTCACCTCTGTGCCTCCATGACTCTCAAATCCCTCCTACTTGTCACTCATTTTTTATCTGGTCTCAAACTCTTAGTCTCACTCTTCTGAGTTTCGTCTCAGACTCTCAGCCTCTCTCACTCGTCACTTATCTCTCTTTTATCAACCTGAATTAAGTAATTCGAGCTAAATCTAATTTTTAATTCGAAATCAGTCCGAATTCAACTCGAACCTATCCAAATTAAATTCGAGCAATATTTGAGTTGAATATCTCAAGTTGAGGTCAGATTAGAATTAAGATCAAAAATTATATATCTAGAGATAAACTAGAATAGATTTATCAACCCGCCCTAAGCCGCCAGAGTTGCACTCTAAACAAAATTAGTTGGTAATAAAAGAGGGTGATCTGTGTAATTTTATCATACAAAGTGTAACTCTAGTCTATGAAAGGTGAGCGGAATGTGATACCAATTAAACGCAAGCACAGCATGTCAAACGCCGTAGTGAATGGGCTGGCCGGAGCCGGAGGAGGTATTATCGCTCAAATCATAACTTATCCCTTGCAAACGGTACGAGCTTCACCCAGATAAGTATTTATGTTTACTGAATTTATATAGTATCGCCTATGGGCTTGTGGGCGTTACATAGTATCGCTTATTTGCTGGTTCGAACAGTTGTTTTGCTTGGACTTGTAGGTGAATACGCGCCAGCAGACAGAGAGACTTGCCAAGATAGGTGCGGATTCTCCTTCCCCTTCCAATCGTCCCACAGCCGGTGCGCTTGTTCAAATCTCCCAGGTCATGGTCTTTTTTTTTTCGTGGTAAATGAAAATATTCTTTCTTCTTTTAGAATCAATTTCACGGTCACCTTCCTAGCTTGACTTTTGAGTTGGCTGCTCCAATTCTTCTTGTCAGGTGGTAAAAACCGAAGGCATAGGTGGACTTTACAGCGGCCTGAAGCCTTCATTGCTTGGCACCGCTGCTTCCCAGGTCGGCGCTTCTCCTTCTCCTACTTCCTTTTAGAAAGAGATTTGTGCACCAATGTCCCCGGCTGAGACATGACGATTGCAGTCATATTTGGTCCAATCTGAATAACCAGTCTTTTATCTTTTATTTAATTCAGCTGAAGTTTAGTTGGATTTGTTTGCTTTTACCATTCTACTAATCTGGAGTTCTAATGTCGCTGAACATGGATTTTTTGGCTGGCATTGCCGTTGACTCTGTGGTTCCAAATTTTAAATAAAATCCCGCATCTCAAAAAAACTTCAGTGGAATCTGGTCAGATTTGGATTGAAATCACAACCCAAGGCATATACCAGGCCTGCTATCACCTAAAAAGTTGTTTTGAATGAAGTGACTTAAAAGTTAGTACTACCACTTATTGTTCTTTTGTGAGGATCTTTCAACCTTTTCTTGGAGATGTTTCCTTACCATGATGGTTCTCAACATTCAGTTTGACATCTATCTAGTAATTTCCTTGTGATGCTGCCAGGGTGTGTATTACTACTTTTACCAGGTCTTCAAAAACAAGGCTGAGAGCATTGCAGCTGCCAACAGAAACAAAGGACGTGGGGATGGTTCTGTTGGCATGTTTACTTGGCTTGTTGTGGCAGCTTTGGCTGGGTATCCATCCATTCATGATTTTTCATCTTAAATTTCTGTTGAAGTTGTTAGGATGTTTGTGTGAAAGCTTTGTTCAATATAGTTCATTGTGCACAATGTCCTTTTATTATTTCCTTGCTTTACCATCTGATAGCTGACAAAACACTTTTTTTTGGAGTGATTTCTTATGGCAAGGGCCTTACTTTGCAGGTCATTGAATGTATTGCTGACTAACCCAATATGGGTCCTTGTGACCCGTATGCAGGTAATTCTTTTTTTTGAGTGGGAATTATAGGTGTAAGGTGTTTAAAACAGCTTCCCCAATTAACAATTCTGATTTTTGTGGATCCAGATTCATGAAAAAGTGGTTTCGTTCCTAGGAAAGATTATGGTTCTCGGGTATCCAATCAATTAATCCCCCAAACTGGGGAAGCGTAAGCAGAAATGAAAGAGTAGGGTGAGGGAAAAAGGGGGAAGCCACTAAATGGAAGGCTTTGCTCGCTCGCTTTAATGCTCGTTTCTTACTCCTATACTTTTTGTTCTTATGTTTCAGTTGTTTAAGGAAACAAAATCTATTAAGGGTTACACCTGAATTTCCAGAAAATAGGTTACGCCTGAATTTCGGGAAAGTAGGTTACACCTGAATTTCTGTGAGTGCATCAGTGTTATTCTGGATGGGCAAGGTCGCTTGGTCTAACATTTGGCCGCAGGGGGACTACTTGTTTGGTCAAGTATTACTTTTTTAGGAAATTCTATTTTCATGCTTTAAAGTTTAAACCTTCTATAAAACAACGTGGCATAAATGTCTCAAATTATATTAGATATGGACCATATGGTATGGATGCGTTTTGACTATAACATTCCTGTACAAGACTACCTGGTGATCTCATATGATATTCCTTTGGTAAAACAAAAAATTCTTCAAGTGAACATGACTTTTCTTCATGTTTTAATATGGACTGCATGCTTACCTTCATGGACCGTAGTCCCCTCTGTGCTTTGTATGCATGAAGAATCTGATGTATGACATTTTTCCTACTGATTTTTAGACAAATACTCAAGCAGCGAGAAAAATTGTGGAGGCAAAGAGAGAAGCTCTATTAAGGGAATTTTCTGAAAGCAGTTTTTTAGGTTCTTCTTTGCAAGACAAATTGGCTGAACTTGATCCAATAAAACCTCGTCCATATGGAACATGGCAGGCGGTTGGCATCGTTAACCTTTCTTTATGCTGTTCATCACTAGAGCATTGGTATTTTAGTTTGTTTACTTGCTCTGCTTACTCTGCATGGCCTATTCTTTTTGACTGCAATACATAGCTGATATTATGTAGCCTATCTTTTTTGATTGCACAGCTTCATTAGGAAATGCTTTCAATTGAGTTTTCACCCTTGCGAATCAGTAATCGCTTTATTTGGTTGTTAAATTCTTTGACTATTTTCATGCAAAGTACTTCATTTATGCATTACCTTATATATGCTGTGTGCTGAATCGTGTACGGAAAGCTAAATTCTCTCTCTCTCTCTCTCTATTTAATATACAGAGACGTAGATAGATGGATAGATAAATAGATAGATATATGCATGTGTTGAATCTTGCGCACTATCATTTGCCTTATGATGCACAAGAACAGACTACTTGGTGCTCATGGAAGCCTGAGTTGCACTTTCCCCATTGTGTGGTTGTACTGATTTTTTTTGCATGAGGATGTGGAAGGGCAATGAATGCAATACTATTGTTTCAAGTTAGGAAATAGAACAATTCCTGCCGTCATATAGCCTCATTTAATGCCAATGGAGACGCTTGTTTCAATTATCGATTCTAGCTTTTTGCACAATTTAATGGAGAAAGGGTGTAGATGGATGGAAACCTCAGTGAAACAAGCTTCAAAGTGGAATTTCTAAAGAGTTCACATATCTAAATATTAAGAATGGGGTCAGGAAAAGAAAAGAACATAGAAGATTTACAGAACAACCAACGCTCAAAGGAAGTGAAAATTTTGAGTACAAAGGGAATGAACGTGGATATGCCTATATTTAAGCCTAAGTAACAGAATTAGGAGAAAAAATAAACATTACAAAAACTTTAAGCTTAAAGTTACAAGGAATGGACTTTCTACTTGAGATAATTTCTCCTCCAATTTGCTTGTCACCATTTGTGGACTTAGATACTACTATTGCTGATTCTATTGTTCCCATTTCTTTTGCCCCTCGTAATTGTGTTAATCTTGCACTCAACAGCCAATTTCTAAATTGTGTCTTATCATATTCTCTCACCAGCCTATCATGGATTTGCCTTTTAATTATCTTTAGTCGCTCTTCCTCAAGTTTTTTTTATCTTCCTCAAATTTGACAAGATGTCATTAGTAATCCAAAATGAAAGGAAGTAATGATTGAAGAGTTGAGATTTCTTTAGAAACGCAATATTAGTTTAGTATTTTGAAGGAAAAAGACGATTGAATGCATTTGGGTTCTCATGGTGAAGCACAAGGCAAATGGCTTAGTCAAAAGATATAAGGCAAGTATTGTGTAAAAGAAACTTTTGCTTTGGTGATAAAGATAAATTTCATTCATGTTCCAAAATTTTGGTTTGTTTCTTCAACAAACGGATGTGGAGAATGTATTTCTTCGTGGAGATTTAGAGGAGGTGTTTATGGATGTTCCATCAGTCTTTGACGATTCTTCAATTAATGGCAAGTTGTCTAGGCTAACACAACATGACATGGACATGACAATTTTGTGAAGAATAGGACACAGACATGTCAAGAACACTGATAAGATATATGTATATGTCTTTTTATGTCCACAAGTTACAAATTTGTCCCAATACATGTTTTATTGGACCATGAGTTGACCGATTTGATCCAAATAAATTCATAAATTAAGCCTAATTTATGCAAAATATAAGCTCAGTTGCCAAATTTGGCATAAATGCAATCACTTCATAAATCCCACTAACAAAACACTCAAAAAGAGTTTGCAATCTCTTGGTGAGGTATGCAAAGTTGTTATCTTTATATGGATAATCCGAATGACCAGTGACTAAAAAACAAGTGGCAGAGAGAAAAAAAGGGATAAAGATGTAATCTTTGTATGCATACTTCACCTACTAAGAAAGAAAATTGATACTGGGTCAAATTGCTCTATATAAGGTAAAATAGATGGAGACGATTGGAGTGAAATGAGAAGAAAGAGCCAGAATGTTGTAGATGAAGAGAAGGCCTCATATGGGGCAAAATAATCTCCTTGAGCAGGATTTGAGAGGTTTATGTGGGCTAATTGGATGTAGCTGGTTAATGGTCAAGGTGATCATACCTTGGTTATTAACAATTGTGTGAAGGTAAGGTGACTGATTTCATGTTGATGATTTTGGGATAATCAGAGATGGCATGGAAGAAATGCACATGTTAAAATCCTATTTTGCTTAGAAATTCGAGGTAAAAGACCTAGGAAACATGAAGTGTTTTATAGATATTGAAGTTGCTATACCCCGAAGAAGTATCTTTGTTTCACAGAAAAATGTCTTGGATCTCGTTAACAAAACAGATATGATGGTGTAAAGCTATTGATACTCTAGTGGAAAAATCATCACAAATTCAAGAGAAATATTGAAGGTGCTTAATTAACAAGGGCAGTTATCAATACTAACGCACATATAACCTATGCAGTGAGTAAGTTTATGAAGCTCTTTGAGAGTCAAGTATGGGGCAATTTATCTATTTCTCCGTTTTTGGATTTTGCTCCTGCCAAAGGGTTGTTATTTTCAGTACATGGCAAGTCAATAAAAAAATGTTAATTGGCCTAGTTTGATTAGGTTTACTCTTGATTATTGCAATTTTTGAGGTAGGAAATTAAGTGAGTTGACACATTAAGGAGCAACCAATGGTGGCTTGCTGATGCAGAGTGAGAGGAAAAAAAGATATAAACCGATAGTAAAGTGGCTTCCTTAGAGAGGTTAAGAAGTTTTTAATACGAGAGTGATAGGGCTTATACTCCCTCTTTTAGATCACAAGGGCAGCAGCCTATCTTCCTTTATATGCTTTGTCGTTTCTGTTGTGTAGAATTTATTGGATATAGAGAGGAGTGTGAAAATAAGCCAAGTAAGAATTCTTACTCCTCTTGTAGCTCTAAGACAAATAGATAGTAAATGTCTGCCTCTCCTAAAGCAAGGTTTTTATTACATAAGAATGTCTTCTAAAAGTAGGCTCTCCAAAGCTCTCCATAAGCAGTTAAAGATCAAACATGTTCAACAAGGGTATCTGGTGTGAAAAGGTAATCTTCCTCCTCTCCCTGATCCTAGAGGAGAGTGAAAGCCCAATTGGTTTGACCCCTATGTAGTCCAAGACTTTTAGCCGGCGGAGGGCATTTGAGGAGATAACAAGAGCTACGACCGATTCAACGAGATATTTAAGCCCTGTTTGGTTTACATGTCAAAAAATAGTATCTAAAAATAATTTTTGAGAAGAGTTTTAAAAAAATATTTTTGATGTTTTCTAAGATGAAAAACTTATTTGGTTAGATGATTTCAAAAATAGTTTTACAGAACGAAAAATAGTAAAACTTGTTTGGACAACTTAAATATATGTTTGGATAATATTTCAAAAATTAATTAAAAAAATATGAGAAAATTATTTTTAGATGGACATTTTCATAAAAAAAATTCAATAAACAAAACTTTAAAATATGAGAAAATTCAATGGTCTTCAATTTATAACAGATTCAATATAATTTACAACAAATTCAATATCAATTTATATATAAAATCAATCAACCAAACACCAATAAATTTTTTGGAACAAAAAAATCTCAGATCAATAACAAATACAATATCAATGAACAAAAAAAACTGAGGTCTGAAACCCTAAACCTAAACCCTAAACCCTAAACCCTAAACCCTAAACCCAAAACCCAAACCCCCAAACCCTAAACCCTAAACCCTAAACCCTAAACCCTAAACCCTAAACCCTAAAACCCTAAAACCCTAAAACCCTAAACCCTAAACCCTAAACCCTAAACCCTAAACCCTAAACCCTAAACCCTAAACCCTCAACCCTCAACCCTAAACCCTCAACCCTCAACCCTCAACCCTCAACCCTAAACCCTCAACCCTAACCCTAAACCCTCAACCCTCAACCCTCAACCCTAAACCCTCAACCCTCAACCCTAAACCCTCAACCCTAAACCCTCAACCCTCACCCTAAACCCTAAACCCTAAACCCTCAACCCTCAACCCTAAACCCTAAACCCTCAACCCTCAACCCTAAACCCTAAACCCTCAACCCTCAACCCTAAACCCTAAACCCTCAACCCTCAACCCTAAACCCTCAACCCTCAACCCTCAACCCTCAACCCTAAACCCTCAACCCTCAACCCTCAACCCTAAACCCTCAACCCTCAACCCTCAACCCTAAACCCTAAACCCTAAACGCTAAACCCTAAACGCTAAACCCTAAACCCTAAACCCCTAAACCCTAAAACCCCAAACCCTAAACCCTAAAATTCTAAACCCTAAACCCTAAACCCTTTTTTTTTTTTTTTTTTAAAAAGAGAAATTTTATTCCAGAAAAATGCAGAAATTACAAGAAGCAAAGCATTATTGTTTAAAAAAAAACAGTAACTGTAAAAAAATTACAAAGGAAAAGTATATAAAGATAAAAAATTAATTTTGCAACATGGTCCCTATATACAGTCTTCTTTTTCTGGTAGGCATCCTCTTCCTGACCAGCATTAGGAACTGCCAGAATCCATTCCAAGCTTTGAGCAGGAAGAAATGCAGGTATAGGACTAAGCTGGAAGTCCCATCTTGAAGTCCAACAATCTGCCAACCTTCCTTCATCCAACTAATCACAGCACCAAAAAGTAATCCAGCTGCTGAAACTCCTCAAAACCAATCTTCAACTGAGAGCAATCAATTGCATTCCATTACTATGCAAAGAATCCAAACAGTCTGCCTAGGTCAGTCCAGATACATGCACAGATCTTGATAACTCAGAAACATCCCCTCTGAATACCAGATGCAATGTAGGGAAGCTCCATCCTCAATACTTCTGCTATAAAAGAGAAGGAAATACATTCCTCCTTATCAATCCAAAATGAAGCGTAAAAGAGAGCAGGATGATAGGAGGAAAACTGATCAAACACCATCCAAAGTCAACAAGAGAAATTCAGAAGATAGTCCAAGAGGAAGAAGGGATAGTCAAGAAACTCCAGAAATGGAAGTTCTGATTATACTATTGATAGAACATCTCAAACGTTTGTTGGAAACAGAAAGGCAGGGCCAACAATCCAAAGAAGCAAAGTGAAAGAAGACCCACTGACCTCCAGAACTTCTGCATTATGTAATTTCATTAGAGTGAAATAAAATGGATTTGCAAATTCTGATGGATATTCAGGATCTGTTTGGCAACTTTCTTCTACAGCCCTACTCAAACTCAGATAAGCATTTTAATCAACCAATTCCCTGCCTTTGATTACAAAGTAGTCTTTTCAATCTGACATTAGGTAAACCAGTCTGGTCTTGCTGCTGAATTAACCTTCCAGCCACTGGCAATACATTACTGCCAGAGAATTCAGTACATGTTTTTGAATGAACAGTAAAAGAAGCTAAAAAATCAGCCAATCCATTAGTTTCTCTGTAAATGTGTGAAATCTGCAAATTCATCATTCCAAATAACAGTTTAATCCTCTTTAACAGATCTTGCAACTTCCATGGAATAGCAGCTAGACCTTTCACCATTTGAACTAAAGTTTGAGAATCAGACTCCACCAAAATCAGAGAATCTGATAAACCATGCTGCAGGATCAACAATAAACCATCAAACAATGCCATACATTCAGCTAACATGTTTGAACCAACCCCATAAAAACAAGCAGCAGCTATAATCACTATCCCTGCATGGTTCCTTACCACCACTCCTCCTCCTGACAATCCAGTCTTTCCTTTAGAGGCACCATCAACATTAAGCTTTAAGACATTTGTAGGAGGAAATTCCCAACTAATCCATTTGACCTTAGTAATTAAGGAATAAGGATTTTTAATTTTCAACTCTGTCAGAAGATCCTGACCCTTACAATCATCATTAGCTCCAGGCTTAATAATGAAAGCCTGCCATTTCAAAGTATTAATAACTTGTAGGAATATTGCATGTGCATTTAAAAAAACTCCCTCATACTTTCTTCTGCATCTTTCCTTCCACAGAGCCCAAAAAATTAACATAGATACCCCCCTAATCAAACAGTGACTGAGAGAAGGATTTTTAAAACTTCTGAGCAATCTCAGAAATCTGCATAAAGGAGAGTCACCTGATAAAATATCAAATCCCATAATTGCAGCAATTTTCCTCCAAACAGATATAGCTAAAGAACAATCAATAAACAGATGATCTGTAGTTTCCCCAGCTTTACCACACATTACACATTTACTAGCCAAAGCTACTCCCACTTTCTGAATTCTATCATCAGAAGTCAAGGCTTTTTTAAAAATTTTCCATGTGCATAATTGAGCACTAGGAAAAAATTTCTGCTGCCAAATACCTTTAACTATATCATTTTGAATCCCCTTCTTCCTAATTTGATTCCAAGCAGACTTAACAGTAAAGCAACCTGAGTTGGTATGCCTCCATATAAGTTTATCATCTGTATCAGACCTCACCAGAACCACACTTTCAATCTCAGAACAAAGTTGAGGATTAAGCCATTCAGCTACCTTATCCAGCTGCCATTCCACACCATTCCATAATTCATTAATCTTGGGAAAAAACAATGGATGATTTTCCACTCTAAAAATTAAGGGTCCAGACTCCAACCATGAATCACACCAAAAATCAGTATGCTGTCCATTTCCAACAATTTTCAAGGAATTCTGTATTGTGAAATTGAACCAAGGTTTTAGAATTTTAAAAGAATGACCAGCAACAGTATATTCACATCTAATCATATGCTTTCCCTGAAAAAACTTTTCTTTAAAAACTTTGGCCCACAAAGAAGAGCCATTCAAAATTCCCCATACCTGCTTGATTCTAAATGATGTTTGAATGTCATCAAAACTTCTAATCCCCAAACCACCTTCTATATTGGGTTTAGAAACATCATTCAATGAAACCCAATGTCTTCTTTTAAAACCAATCTGATTTGACCAAATGAAGTCAGCAATCAGAGAATTCAGCTTACTCAAAACACCTTTTGGAATATTCAGACAAGCCAATATATGAATAGGGATTGAAGTAAGTACTGATTGTATCAACACAATTCTTCCCATACCAGATAACAGTTTGGCATACCAGCCCTCAATTCTTTTCCTGAAGCTGTTCACCACTTCTTCAAAATAGCATTTCTTAATCCTTCCTCTTATAATAGGACAGCCCAGATAAATAAAAGGACAGTCTTTAAAAGGAATTCCCACCTGAGCAGCCAGTCTATTCCTTCTAGACAAGGTAATTAGCTTAGAACAAAATATTGCACTCTTCAATTTGTTAACCTTTTGACCAGAGCTTGATTCATATAGATCAATAAACTGCAGGACATTCAACACAGACTTTTTGTTACCCCTTAGAAAAATCAGAGTATCATCAGCAAACAATAGGTGACTCACAATAATTGTTCCTCTCCCAATATGAAAATGTTGTACCAAATTCTGATTATAAATGTTCCTCAGCCCTCTACTCAATACTTCCTCAGCCAAGATGAATAAAGTGGGAGAGATAGGATCTCCCTGCCTTAGCCCTCTTGAATTAGCAAAATAGCCATATCTTTGTCCATTTAAACATATAGTAAAGAATTGGCTCTTCAGACAGTTCAAAATAATTTGGTTGAACAAATCAGAAAAACCAAAACTAACCAGAGCCTTCAGCAAGAAATCTCATTCCATCCTGTCATATGCTTTCATCATATCCAATTTCATAACCATATTTCCACCCTCAACCTTCCTGTTCAATTCACCAACAAGCAATTGTCCCAAAGCCACACAGTCACTAATCTCTCTTCCTTTAACAAAACCATGTTGTTCCTCAGATATTAAAGCAGGAAGCAAAGGAGACAGTCTAGTGTTGAGAAGCTTTGTAAAAATCATATACAAGAAATTACATAGGCTTATAGGTCTGAAATCTGAAAAAGAACTAGGCCCCTCCTTCTTAGGAATCAAGACTAATAAAGTGGAATTCACAGATTTGGGCTTTGGATAAGCTTTGGAATGACATCAAAAATATGATCTTTGATGATATGTTCCTCAGACTTATAAGCTTTGGAATGACATCAAAAATATGATCTTTGATGATATGTTCCTCAGACTTATAAAGATCAGCATAGAATTCCTCAGCAACATCAGCCACCTGCTTATCACCATATACCCATACTCCTTCTTTATTCTTGATTCTTGAAACTTTATTCCTGCTAACTCTACTTTTAGCAATAGAATGATAAAATCTGGTATTCCTCTCCCCTTGAATAGCCCATTTCACATTTGACTTTTGCTTCCAGTAGGTTTCCTCTCTTCTCAACCAATCATCCATCTCACCTTTAACCATTTCTAAATCCAAAGCTTTGGAATCAGAAAAGTCCTGATCTAATTCCAGTTCAATTTCACTAGTCTTTTGTTCAAGCTCTTTCAACTTTTCAAAAAGATTACCAAAAACCTCTTTATTCCACAACTTCATGTGACTCTTCAGATATTTCATTTTGAAGAACACATTTGACACTAGGTTATCTGAATACTGTCCAGTCCACTTAGATTTAATTAGAGCCAGAAAATCTTCTTGATCACACCACATATCTTGAAATCTAAAATAAGAGATTCTTTTCTGTCTAGGACTGTCCATAATTTTCAATAATAAAGGACTATGATCAGAGGAACCTCTTGCCAAATGAACCACTTCCATACTATCAAATTCTAGATTCCAATAAGCATTAATCAGAGCTCTATCCAACCTCTGCTTCATTCTTGTAACCCCAGTTCTATTATCACACCAAGTAAATTTATTTCCAACAAAACCAGCATCCAACAACCCCCTGTGATCCAAGAAATCACCAAACTCCTCCATAGATAACAAAGAAGGAAAAGCTCCTCCCAATCTTTCAGCAGAAGATAAAATGGTATTGAAATCACCAACTACCATCCAAGGAACCTTAGGAGGAACATCTATAGTCAACAAATGTGACCATAAGGACCTTCTCGTAAAAAGATCACAACTAGCATATACTACAGAAACCCAAAGAATAAGTGAATTCATAAGTGTAATTTCCACAGTCAATACTTGAGCATGTTTAAATAAGACCCTTAGCTTAATTCTCTCATCCCATAATATCCAAATATTCCTTTCTGCTAGAGCATTGAAACAGAAATGTTCTAGACCAATACTCCTAGCAAAAGGAACCAATTTAGACACCAACAATTTAGGCTCTTGAATTGCAACAAGACAAATATCATGCATTTTAATAAGCTTCTTTAATCTCCTTATCTTGGCATCTTTACTTGCCCCTCTCATATTCCATGATAGAACATTAATCATAAGTTCATAGGAGAACGAACATTACTGGAACTAAATCCATTACCATCCTCATTCTCATCAAAAGAACTCTCAGAATTATCAGAATCAACATTTACAATCTTCTGGGTTCTAGAGCTGGCTTGGTCAGAATAGTAACCTTTGTCTGGAGGTTCTCTCACTCTAATCAAGCCATTTTGATCATCTAAAGAATTTTGACTTCCTTTCCTAACTGTAAATTCATTTCCAACTAAAAAGGAAGAACCCAAGGATTGAGCATAAAGAGTTCTACACTCTCCAAGGACTTCCACAAGGTTGAGATCATTCATATCATTACTAAGAGGAGCTAAATTTTCCTCTATAGTAACCTTGTTTCCTTCAATGTCTCCCACATTAACCACCTCATTAGCAGAAGGCAAAAAGATAGGGGAGGAAGGGGAAGAAATCTCAAAATTAGTACCTTCATGATCTGGCAGAATAGGATCCTCCAATCTGATATCAACAATATCAGTGCCATCACCATCTTGAATTCCACAATCAAAAGCCATTGGGGAATTATCAAGAGTCCCAACATCAACTGTCACAGTATCCCCTTTGTGAAATCCAATATCCCTTACTACAGCATTAACAATATCACAAACATTGTTCATATCCTGTGGAACTGGTTCAGTAATCAATTCATCAGCAGCAAATGCTCCAATATCAGTAATCTTATCAGAAAAGATTGTCTGTCCCAATAAAGGCATATCTCTACCATTTTTCATATCCTCCATTCCAATCTCCCTTGCATTTCCCAAGTCAAAAGCAACAGTTGTATCATTTGGATTTGCAGAATCATTAATACTCACCATAACAGCAGAAGATACACCATTTTCAATAACCTTTTCAGGTAAAATTTGCTGGAATTGTACAGGTAGATTCCTATCATTATCCATTTCCTCCATTACAACCTCCTCATTCAGTACAGCAAAACTATTCTCCACAGCAGTAGTTTGATTCATGGATTTCTGTCTATATTCCTTTCTGGGATTCACACTCAATCCATCTATAACCACAGCTTTTCCTTTCTTCTTCCTCCATTCCTTATCATGACTTAAAACATTCCCAGTTGTTTGCTTATTCTCAGAGGCATCTCCTTCCACTTTCTTCTTCCTTCTGCACAACATTTCATCATGCCCTTGCTTAAGACAAGCAGGACAATATTTATATTCCTTTTCATATACTATCCTCTGCCAACGACCAATGACTCCCCCCATGTCTAACCAGAATCTTTTAGGATTACTGGCCAGAAGATTCATTTCCACACAAGCCCTGGCTACACCAGGCCTAGAGAGATTTAGAGTAGCATTGTCTATCACCAAAAATCTACCAACTAGACTCAATATGTCCCTCAGATTNAGATTCATTTCCACACAAGCCCTGGCTACACCAGGCCTAGAGAGATTTAGAGTAGCATTGTCTATCACCAAAAATCTACCAACTAGACTCAATATTTCCCTCAAATTCTCTCTATTAAACAGATGGATTGGAAGACCTGGCAAAGATATCCATACTGGTACAACAGGAGGTTCAATCCCAGGATAGAATTCTGGAAACCACTTGAAGAATCTAAAGAGGTAACCCTCAATGTATGTAGTATCCTTTAGCCATACTTTTACATAATCCTCACACAGAGAGAACCTAATCAGTACATGCCTCGGATCAAGCACTCCTACAGAGAATTCCCCTTTCAATAACCATCTAGAATTAATAAACTCCTTTACCACACCAAGTGAAGGTCTACCATAGGCACATTTGCCAATAAGAGTCTGATTAAAACCTTTGGAAAGCTCCATAGTTTCAACAGGGGACCAATACATTCCAGGTTCCCCTTTATTAAACACAACTCTCTTAATAGGCTTCAGAGGATTTACAGAATTCAAGGAACCAAATAGAATTGGAGAAGAAGGAACCTGAATAGCAGAAGGATGCTGAGCATTCGATATAACAACAGGAACCTGAGAATCTCTTCCAGGAATCGGGATCTGAGTTTTTGGCAGAATTCGGTCTATCGAAAGATCTTGAGAAGACGAAATAGATGGAGGAATCAATACAGAATGGGAATGCAGGTTAACTCCCTGAGCGTTTCGAACATTCGAAGAATCAACAAGAATTTGAATTCCTAATCCAGATGAAGAACATTGATTATTTGTTGAAGATGACACAGTCGAAGGAAGAACAGAGGCGATCTGAACAGTCGGTGCATTTCGATTCAGCTGAGAAACCAGAGGCATAGAAACGGTGTTATTACATCCCAAAGGATCAACAAGTGTTAAGGAATTGATCTCTAAAGCAGTAGGAATTGTCAGAAAATTTCCCACAGATGTAGTTTTCTTGAACAAGGAGGCAAAATTTTTGGTAATGTTAGGCGGTTTTGGAGGAATCTGATGAATTTCATGGCCAGATTTCATGTTATGACAATCAAAACAGTAGGAATTTCAACAAAAACACAAGAAATAACGAAAATTGAGATAGAAATGGAGAAGATCTGAAAAAGAATGAGCAATTTCTAGAGAGAAGTCAGCCCTTCTCTCTCTAGAATGAAATAACTGCCTCTCCTCCTAAACCCTAAACCCTAAACCCTAAACCCTAAACCCAACATCCAAAACCCTAAAACCCTAAACCCTAAACCCTTTTTTTTTTTTTTAATAAAAGAGAGAAATTTTATTCAAGAAAAATGCAAGAAATTACAAGAAGCAAAGCAGTACTGTTTAAAGATAAAAAATAGTAACTGTAAAACAATTACAAAGGAAAAAACCATATAAGGGTAAAAAAGTAATTTTGTAACATGGTCCCTATATGCAGTCTCCTTTTTCTAGTAAGTATCCTCTCCCAAACCAGCATTAAAGAACTACATGCTCCAGTCCAAGCTTTGAGCAGGAAGAAACTGCAGGTATAGAACTAAGCTGGAAGAGTTCCCATCTTGAAGTCCAAAAGTCTGCCAAAAACTCCTTTTATATGCCTTCCTTCATCCAACTAAAAAATTCAACCAGCTGAAGCACTCAACAATCACAGCAGCAAAATGTAATCCAGCAGCTGAAAATCCTCAAAACCAATCTTCAGCTGAGAGCAATCAATTACAGTCCATTACTAATCAAAGAATCCAAACAGTCTACCAAGATCAGTCCAGATACATTCACAGATCTTGATAACTCAGAAACATCCCCTCTGAATACCAGATGCATTATAGGGAAGCTCAATCATCAATACATCTCCTATAAAAGAGAAGGGGAATACAGTCCTCCTTATCAATCCAAAATGAAGCGTAAAAGAAAGCAGGATGATAGAAGGAAGACTGATCAACCACCCTCCAAGGCCAACAAGAGAAATCCAGAAGATAGTCCAAGAGGAAGAAGGGATAGTCAGGAAACTCCAGAAATGGAAGTTTTGATTATACTACTGATAGAGCATCTCAAACGTTTGTTGGAAACAGAAAGGCAGGGCCAACAAACCAAAGAAGCAAAGTGAAAGAAGACCCACTGACCTCCAGAACTTCTGCATTATTTAATTTCATTAGATTGAATTAAAAAGAATTTGCAAATTCTGATGGAAGTTCTGAATCTGTTAGGCAACTTTCTTCACAGCCTTACTCAGACTCAGATAAGCATTAATTTAATCAACCAATTCCCTGTTTTTGACTGCAAAGTAGTCTTTTCAATTTGACATTAGGTAAACCAGTCTGGTCTTGCTGCTGAATTAGCCTTCCAGCCACTGGCAATACATTACTGCCAGAGAATTCAGTACATTTTTTTGAATAAACAGCAAAAGAAGCTAAAAAATCAGCCAATCCATTAGCTTCTCTGTAAATGTGTGAAATCTGCAAATTCATCATTCCAAACAACTGCTTAATCCTCTTTAACAAATCTTGCAATTTCCATGGAATAGCAGCTAGGCCTTTCACCATTTGAACTAAAGTTTGAGAATCAGACTCCACCAAAATCAGGGAATCTGATAAACCATGCTGCAGGATCAACAATAAACCATCAAACAATGCCATGCATTCAGCTAACATATTTGAACCAACCCCATAAAAACAAGCAGCAGCTGTAATCACTATCCCTGCATGGTTCCTTAACACCACTCCTCCTCCTGACAATCCAGTCTTTCCTTTAGAGGCACCATCAACATTAAGCTTTAAGACATTTGTAGGAGGAAATTCCCAATTAATCCATTTAACCTTAGTAATTAAGGAATAAGGATTTTTAATGTTCAACTCTGTCAAAAGATCCTGACCCTTACAATCATCATTAGCTCCAGGCTTAATAATGAAAGCCTATCATTTCAAAGTACTAACAACTTGTAGGAATATTGCATGTGCATTTAAAAACACTCCCTCATACTTCCTTCTGCATCTTTCCTTCCACAGAGCCCAAAAAATTTACATAGATACCCCCCTAATCAAATTGTGACTGAGAGAAGGAATTTTAAATCTTCTGAGCAATCTCAAAAATCTGCATAAAGGAGAGTCACCTGATAAAATATCAAATCCCATAATTGCAGCAATTTTCCTCCAAACAGATATAGCTAAAGAGTAGTCAATAAATAGATGAGCTATAGTTTCCCCAGCTTTACCACACATTACACATTTACTAGCCAAAGCTACTCCCGCCTTCTGAATTCTATCATCAGAAGTCAAGGCTTTTTTAAAAATTTTCCAAGTGCATAATTGAGCACTAGGAAAAATTTTCTGCTGCCAAATACCTTTAACTATATCATTATGAATCCCCTTCTTCCTAATTTGATTCCAAGCAGAGTTAACAGTAAAGCAACCTGAGTTGGTATGCCTCCATATAAGTTTATCAGTTGTATCAGACCTCACCAGAACCACACTTTCAATCTCAGAACAAAGCTGAGGATTAAGCCATTCAGCTACCTTATCCAGCTGCCATTCCACACCATTCCATAATTCATTAATCTTGGGGAAAAAAATGGATGATTCTCCACTCTAAAAATTAAGGGACCAGACTCCAACCATGAATCACACCAAAAATCAGTATCCTGTCCATTTCCAACAATTTTCAAGGAATTCTGTATTGTGAAATTGAACCAAGGTTTTAGTATTTTAAAAGAATGACCAGCAGCAGTATATTCACATCTAATCATATGTTTCCCCTGAAAAAACTTTTCTTTAAAAACTTTGGCCCACAAAGAAGAGCCATTCAAAACTCCCCATACCTGCTTGATTCTAAATGTTGTTTGAATTTCATCAAAACTTCTAATCCCCAAACCACCTTCTATATTGGGTTTAGAAACATCATTCAATGAAACCCAATGTCTTCTTTTAGAACCAATCTGATTTGACCAAATGAAGTCAGCAATCAAAGAATTCAGCTTACTCAAAACACCTTTTGGAATATTAAGAGAAGCCAATATATGAATAGGGATTGAACTAAGTACTGATTGTATCAGCACAATTCTTCCCATACCAGATAACAGTTTGGCATACCAGCCCTCAATTCTTTTCCTGAAGCTGTTCACCACTTCTTCAAAATAGCATTTCTTAATCCTTCCTCTTATAATAGGACAGCCCAGATAAATAAAAGGACAGTCTTTAAAAGGAATTCCCACCTGAGCAGCCAGTCTATTCCTTCTAGACAAGGTAATTAGCTTAGAACAAAATATTGCACTCTTCAATTTGTTAACCTTTTGACCAGAGCTTGATTCATATAGATCAATAAACTGCAGGACATTCAACACAGACTTTTTGTTACCCCATAGAAAAATCAGAGTATCATCAGCAAACAATAGGTGACTCACAATAATTGTTCCTCTCCCAATATGAAAATGTTGTACCAAATTCTGATTATAAATGTTCCTCAGCCCTCTACTCAATACTTCCTCAGCCAAGATGAATAAAGTGGGAGAGATAGGATCTCCCTGCCTTAGCCCTCTTGAATTAGCAAAATAGCCATATCTTTGTCCATTTAAACATATAGTAAAGAATTGGCTCTTCAGACAGTTCAAAATAATTTGGTTGAACAAATCAGAAAAACCAAAACTAACCAGAGCCTTCAGCAAGAAATCTCATTCCATCCTGTCATATGCTTTCATCATATCCAATTTCATAACCATATTTCCACCCTCAACCTTCCTGTTCAATTCACCAACAAGCAGTTGTCCCAAAGCCACACAGTCACTAATCTCTCTTCCTTTAACAAAACCATGTTGTTCCTCAGATATTAAAGCAGGAAGCAAAGGAGACAGTCTAGTGTTGAGAAGCTTTGTAAAAATCATATACAAGAAATTACATAGGCTTATAGGTCTGAAATCTGAAAAAGAACTAGGCCCCTCCTTCTTAGGAATCAAGACTAATAAAGTGGAATTCACAGATTTGGGCATAAAACCTCCTTTAAGCAAAAAGTTAATAGCTATGACCACATCAACTTTAATAATATCCCAGGCAAATTGGAAGAATTTACTAGACATACCATCCGGTCCAGGAGCACTCTCTATAGCCATAGAAAAAACAACATCTTTCACTTCCTCCAAAGTAGCTTCAGTAGTAAGCCTCTCATTATCCTCTTTACTGATAAGCTTTGGAATGACATCAAAAATATGATCTTTGATGATATGTTCCTCAGACTTATAAAGATCAGCATAGAATTCCTCAGCAACATCAGCCACCTGCTTATCACCATATACCCATACTCCTTCTTTATTCTTGATTCTTGAAACTTTATTCCTGCTAACTCTACTTTTAGCAATAGAATGATAAAATCTGGTATTCCTCTACCCCTGAATAGCCCATTTCACATTTGACTTTTGCTTCCAGTAGGTTTCCTCTCTTCTCAACCAATCATCCATCTCACCTTTAACCATTTCTAACTCCAAAGCTTTGGAATCAGAAAAGTTCTGATCTAATTCCAGTTCAATTGCACTAGTCTTTTGTTCAAGCTTTTTCAACTTTTCAAAAAGATTACCAAAAACCTCTTTATTCCACAACTTCATGTGAGTCTTCAGATATTTCATTTTGATGAACACATTTGACACTGGGTTATCTGAATACTGTCCAGTCCACTTAGATTTAATTAGAGCCAGAAAATCTTCATGATCACACCACATATCTTGAAATCTAAAATAGGAGATTCTTTTCTGTATAGGACTGTCCATAATTTTCAATAATAAAGGACTATGATCAGAGGAACCTCTTGCCAAATGAACCACTTCCATACTGTCAAATTCCAGATTCCAATAAGCATTAATCAGAGCTCTATCCAGCCTCTGCTTCATTCTTGTAACCCCAGTTCTATTATCACACCAAGTAAATTTATTTCCAACAAAACCAGCATCCAACAACCCCCTGTGATCCAAGAAATCACCAAACTCCTCCATAGATAACAAAGAAGGAAAAGCTCCTCCCAATCTTTCAGCAGAAGATAAAATGGTATTGAAATCACCAACTACCATCCAAGGAACCTTAGGAGGAACATCAATATTCAACAAATGTGACCATAAGGACCTTCTCGTAAAAAGATCTCAACTAGCATATACTACAGAAACCCAAAGAATAAGTGAATTCATAAATGTAATTTCCACAGTCAATACTTGAGCATGTTTAAATAAGACCCTTAGCTTAATTCTCTCATCCCATAATATCCAAATATTCCTTTCTGCTAGAGCATTGAAACAGAAATGTTCTAGACCAATACTCCTAGCAAAAGGAACCAATTTAGACACCAACAATTTAGGCTCTTGAATTGCAACAAGACAAACATCATGCATTTTAATAAGCTTCTTTAATCTCCTTCTCTTGGCATCTTTACTTGCCCCTCTCATATTCCATGATAGAACATTAATCATAAGTTCATAGGAGAAGGAACATTACTGGAACTAAATCCATTACCATCCTCATTCTCATCAAAAGAACTCCCAGAATTATCAAAATCAACATTTACAATCTTCTGGGTTCTAGAGCTGGCTTGGTCAGAATAGTAACCTTTGTCTGGAGGTTCTCTCACTCTAATCAAGCCATTTTGATCATCTAAAGAATTTTGACTTCCTTTCCTGACTGTAAATTCATTTTCAACTAAAAAGGAAGAACCCAAGGATTGAGCATAAAGAGTTCTACACTCTCCAAGGACTTCCACAAGGTTGAGATCATTCATATCATTACTAAGAGGAGCTAAATTTTCCTCTATAGTAACCTTGTTTCCTTCAATGTCTCCCACATTAACCACCTCATTAGCAGAAGGCAAAAAGATAGGGGAGGAAGGGGAAGAAATCTCAAAATTAGTACCTTCATGATCTGGCAGAATAGGATCCTCCAATCTGATATCAACAATATCAGTGCCATCACCATCTTGATTTCCACAATCAAAAGCCATTGGGGAATTATCAAGAGTCCCAACATCAACTCTCACAGAATCCCCTTTGTGAAATCCAATATCCCTTACTACAGCATTAACAATATCACAAACATTGTTCATATCCTGTGGAACTAGTTCAGTAATCAACTCATCAGCAGCAAATGCTCCAATATCAGTAATCTTATCAGAAAAGATTGTCTGTCCCAATAAAGGCATATCTCTACCATTTTTCATATCCTCCATTCCAATCTCCCTTGCATTTCCCAAGTCAAAAGCAACAGTTGTATCATTTGGATTTGCAGAATCATTAATACTCACCATAACAACAGAAGATACACCATTTTCAATAACCTTTTCAGGTAAAATTTGCTGGAATTGTACAGGTAGATTCCTATCATTATCCATTTCCTCCATTACAACCTCCTCATTCAGTACAGCAAAACTATTCTCCACAGCAGTAGTTTGATTCATGGATTTCTGTCTATATTCCTTTCTGGGATTCACACTCAATCCATCTATAACCACAGCTTTTCCTTTCTTCTTCCTCCATTCCTTATCATGACTTAAAACATTCCCAGTTGTTTGCTTATTCTCAGAGGCATCTCCTTCCACTTTCTTCTTCCTTCTGCACAACATTTCATCATGCCCTTGCTTAAGACAAGCAGGACAATATTTATATTCCTTTTCATATACTATCCTCTGCCAACGACCAATGACTCCCCCCATGTCTAACCAGAATCTTTTAGGATTACTGGCCAGAAGATTCATTTCCACACAAGCCCTGGCTACACCAGGCCTAGAGAGATTTAGAGTAGCATTGTCTATCACCAAAAATCTACCAACTAGACTCAATATGTCCCTCAGATTCTCTCTATTAAACAGATGGATTGGAAGACCTGGCAAAGATATCCATACTGGTACAACAGGAGGTTCAATCCCAGGATAGAATTCTGGAAACCACTTGAAGAATCTAAAGAGGTAACCCTCAATGTATGTAGTATCCTTTAGCCATACTTTTACATAATCCTCACACAGAGAGAACCTAATCAGTACATGCCTCGGATCAAGCACTCCTACAGAGAATTCCCCTTTCAATAACCATCTAGAATTAATAAACTCCTTTACCACACCCAGTGAAGGTTTACCATAGGCACATTTGCCAATAAGAGTCTGATTAAAACCTTTGGAAAGCTCCATAGTTTCAACAGGGGACCAATACATCCCAGGTTCCCCTTTATTAAAAATAACTCTCTTAGTAGGCTTCAGAGGATTTACAGAATTCAAGGAACCAAATAGAATTGGAGAAGAAGGAATATGATTGCTAGGAGGATTCTGAGCATTCGATATAACAACAGGAACCTGAGTTTCTTTTTCAGAAATCGAGATCTGAGATTTTGGCAAAATTCGATCCATCGAAGGATTTTGAGAAAGCAAAATAGACGGGGAAATCAAGGAAGATTGGGAATGTAGATTAATTCCCTGAGTGTTTCGAACATTTGAAGCATCAACAGGAATCTGCATTTCTAATCTAGAAGACGAACATTGATTATTTGCTGAAGTTGACACAACCGAAGGAAGAACAGAGGCAAACTGAACAGTCGGTGTGTTTCGATTCAGACGAGAAATCAGAGGCATAGAAACGGTGTTATTACATCCCAAAGAGTCAACAAGTGTAAAGGAATTGATCTCTGAAGCCGTAAGAATTGTCAGAAAGTTTTCCACCGATGAAGTTTTCTTGAACAAGGAGGCAAAATTTTTGGTAATGTCAAGCGGTTTTGGGGGAATATGATGAGTTTCATGGCCAGATTTCATGCTATGACAATCAAACCAGTAGGATTTTCAACGAAATCACAAGAAATAATGAAAATTGAGGTAGAAATGGAGAAGATCTGAAAAGGAATGAGCAATTTCTAGAGAGAAGTCAGACCTTCTCTCTCTAGAATGAAATAACTGTCTTTCTAAACCCTAAACCCTAAACCCGCATTAGAGTCGCAGCCCAGCCATAGAACAAAGCCCCCTACCTCATTCTAGAAGAACACAAAACACCCTCACAATTACACCAAAGCACTTTGAATGTAATTGTAAGGATGAGAATGTCCCTTAAAATGAAAAGTAAATGAAGCAGACAAAAAAATAGCCAAACTGTCCAACCAGCACCATCACAGAATAACAGAAGCATGNCCTTTTTTTTTTTTTTTTTTTTTAAGGAAACATAAATTTTATTCCAGAAAATGCAGAAATTACAAGAAGCAAAGCAGTACTGTTAAAAGATAAAAAAAACAGTAACTGTAAAACAAATTACAAAGGAAAACTATGTAAGGGTAAAAAAGTAATTTTGTAACTTGATCCCTATATGTAGTCTCCTTTTTCTGGCAATTATCCTCTCCAAAACCAGTATACAGAACTTCATACTCCAGACCATGCTATGAGCAGAAAGAAAAGGCAGGTATAGGACTAAGCTGGAAGAGTAATCCCATCTTGAAGCCCAACAGTCTGCCAAAAACATTAATAAGAACCATCCCCTCAGAAATCCAGATCTGCAATAAAACATTCATTGGCAATAGAATGCCAAGCAGTCAGAAGGCTGTCCAGACCCTTCTACCAGAGCTAGTCCAGATATAGCTCTCATACATGCACTATTCATTAATAACCAGCTTTTCTGAATGGCCAGATGCAGAGGAGACCAAACATCAAATATCACCTATAAAACTGTATTGAAGCAGCATCCTTCTTAACATTTCAAGATGAAACGCAAAAAGGAACAGGATGACATCATAAAACATGATCATCCACACTCAAAAGCTCACAAAAGAAGGCCAGAAGATAGCCCAGGCAGAATGGAAAAGGAGCAACCAACAGATACTGAAGAACTGCTCTTGATTCTTATAAATCATCTTAGGGTTTAGGGTTTAGGGTTTAGGGTTTAGGGTTTAGGATTTAGGGTTTAGAGTTTAGGGTTTAGGGTTTAGGGTTTAGGGTTTAGGGTTTAGGGTTTTTTTTAGGAGGCAGTTATTTCATTCTAGAGAGAGAAGGTCTGACTTCTCTCTAGAAATTTTTTTCTCAGATCTACTTATTGCCTATCTAATTTTTCATTATTTTGCTGCAAAATCATTAAATCTCCTATGGTCTTGATTGATTTAGCATGGAATTAGCCCAAGAACATCGTCAAATTCCCCCAAAACCTCCAGACATTACCAAAAACTTTGCCTCTTTGTTTAAGAAATCTGCTCCGGAAGAGAATGTTCTAACAATTCCTATTACTTCAGAATTTAATTCTTTAACAATTGTAGATCCTTTGGGAAGGAATAATACCATCTCTATGCCTCTTATTTCCCAAGCGAATCAAACTAAGCCGACTGTTCGTCTGGCCTCTGTTCTTCCTGCGACTATATCGACTGTTACAAATAATCAGAGTTCTTCTTCTGGGATAGGAAGTCATGTTCCTATTGATTCTGTCATTGATCGAAACACACAGAGAGTGTTTATGAATCCTCAACCTTCTTTAATTCCCCAATCCAATTTGAAAACTCATGAATCCTCGATGGATCAAAATCTGCATAAATCGTTGTTTCTTGCTCCTGAGAAAGAAATTCAGATTCCAGTAGTTATTTTGAATTCTCATAATCCTTCTGGTATTCAAGCTCCTACTTCTAATATTGTCTTTGGTTCTTTAAATTCTGTGAATACTCCTAAACCTGCTAAGAGGGTAGTCTTTAATAAAGGAGAGCCTGGGATGTACTGGTCCCCCATTGAAACCTTCGAACTTTCCAAAGGTTTTTGTCAAACACTTATTGGTAAATGTGCCTATGGTAAACCGTCTCTTGGTGTAGTGAAAGAATTTATCAAGTCTCGGTGGCTTCTGAAAGGAGATTTCTCTGTAGGAGTATTAGATCAGAGGCATGTACTGATCAGATTTTCTCTCTATGAGGACTATGTTAAAGTGTGGCTGAAGGATACCACCTACATTGAGGGTTACCTCTTCAGGTTTTTCAAGTGGTTTCCAGAGTTTTATTCTGGGATTGAGCCACCTATTGTACCTGTATGGGTGTCCTTACCTGGTCTTCCAATCCATTTGTTTAACAGAGAGAGTCTGAGAGATATTTTAAGTCCAATAGGCAGAATTCTGGTGATAGATAATGCCACTCTGAACCTTTCTAGGCCTGGTGTAGCCAGGGCCTGTGTTGAAATGAATCTCTTAATTAACAATCCAAAGAGATTCTGGTTAGATATGAGGGATGTTAGTGGCAGATGGCAGAAGATAGTGTATGAAAAAAAATACAGGTACTGTCCTGCTTGTCTTAAGCAGGGGCATGATGAAGTGCAATGCAGAAGGAAGAAGAAAGTGGAAGATGATATTTTTGAGAAGAAGCAGGAGGCTGGAAATAATCTTCCTCAGGATGAGGAGTGGAAGAAGAGAAAGGGCAAAGATGTTGCTATAGAAGGAATGAGAGGACAGTCTAGAAAGGAATATAGACAGAAATCTGTTCCTCAAACTACTGCTGTGGGGAATAGTTTTTCTGTTTTAAATGAGGAGATTGTGGTAGAAGAGCAGGAGATTGGGAAGGAAAGGGCTCTGAAAAGTCGGGAAATATTACCTGACAGGGTAACTGATAATGAAGGATCTCCCTCTAATAAGGAGGTGGGTACTGGATCTATTGAAATACAAGGGGAGGCTATTAGAATGGATACTGTAATTCTTGATAATCCTCAGGTACGCTCTGAATGTGGTAATCAAGGAGTTAGTAATGCTATTACTGCTGATATCAGATTGGAGGGAATTCAACAAGAGAATAGCCCAGTAGTAACTAATGTTTCTAAATCTAGGAATCAAATTCCTATGATTACATCTTCTGTGGGTGATACTGTGGAGGTAATTTCCTTTTCCTCCCTAATTTATTACCCCCTGTTAATGAGGTGGTTAATGTTGGAAGTATTGGAGGAATTCTAATATTTGATGTGGAAAATATAGTTTCTCCTATTAATGGTATTAACAATGACAATATGGTGGTTAATGAAAATATGGAGGTATTGGGAGAATGTAGGAACCTTTATGCTCCATCAATGGATTCATCCTTTCTTGTGGAACATGGCTTTGCTGTTAGGCAAGGAAGCCAATATTCTTTAGATGACCATTCTGGTTTGGTAAGGATGAAAGAACCTCCAGATAAGGGATATTATTCTGATCAGGCTAGTTCTAGATCTCAAAGAATTGTAAATGTTGAATCTGATAATTCTGGGAGTTCTTTTGATGAAAAGGATGAGGGTAATGGACTTAGTTCCAGTGAAGTTCCATCTCCTATGAATCTATGATTAATCTTCTATCATGGAATATGAGAGGGGCAGGGAAGGATTCCAAGAGGAGGAGATTAAAGAAGCTTATTAAATTGCATGATGTTTGTCTTGTTGCAGTTCAAGAACCTAAATTGCTGATTTCTAAATTGGTTCCTTTTGCTAGGAGTATTGGTCTAGAACACTTCTGTTCTAATGCTCTTGCATAAAGGAACATTTGGATTTTATGGGATGAGAGAATCAAGTTGAGGATCTTATTTGAGCATGATCAAGTATTGACTGTGGAAATAACTTTTCTGAATTCAATTATTTTTTGGATCTCAATTGTGTATGCTAGTTGTGATCTTTTTACAAGAAGGCTTTTATGGGATCATTTGTTGGGAATTAATGTTCCTTCTGATGTTCCTTGGATGGTGGTTGGTAACTTCAATTCAATCCTATCTTTTGATGAAAGATTGGGAGGAGTTCCTCCTTCTTTGCTGTCTATAGAAGATTTTTGTGACTTTTTAAATCATAGGGGTTTGGTGGATGCTAGTTTTGTGGGAAATAAATTTACCTGGTGTGATAACAGGAATGGGGGTATCAGAATGAAGCAGAGGTTGGACAGAGTTCTGATTAATGCTTGCTGGAATCTGAAATTTGATAGTATGGAAGTGTTTCATTTAGCAAGGGGCTCTTCTGATCATAGCCCTTTATTGTTGAAAATTATGGATGCTCCTATACAAAAAAGAATTTCTTATTTTAGATTTCAAGACATGTGGTGTGATCATGAGGGATTTCTTGATCTGATTAAAGCAAATTGGGGGGGGGATCTATTCAGATAATCCAATGTCAAATTTGTTCATCAAGATGAAATATTTGAAGGCTCATATGAAGATGTGGAATAAAAATGTGTTTGGCAATCTCTTTGACAAATTGAAAAATCTTGAGCAAAAAATAAGTTTGGTGGAACAGGAGTTAGATCAGAATTTTTCTGATTCAAAAGACATGGAGTTAAAAGCTGCTAAAAATGAGATGGATGATTGGTTAAGAAGAGAAGAAACTTATTGGAAGCAAAAGTCAAATATAAAATGGGCTATACAGGGGGAAAAGGAATACCATATTTTATCATTCTATTGCTAAAAGTAGAATGATTAGGAATAAAGTCTCAAGAATTAAGAATAAAGAAGGGGTCTGGGTGTATGGGGATAAGCAAGTGGCTGAGGTTGCGGAGGAATTTTATGTTGATCTCTATAAGACTGAAAGGCATATCATCAATGAACAAATTCTTGTTGATGTTATTCCTAAGCTCATTAGTCAAGAGGATAATGAGTGGCTTACAGCTAAAGCCACATTGGAGGAATTGAAAGATGTGGTCTTTTCAATGGCAGTTGAAAGTGCCCCTGGGCCTGATGGTATGTCTGGTATGTTTTTTCGATTTGCCTGGGATATTGTTAAAGTGGATGTGGGCAGAGCTTTTAATTTTTTGCTAGCAAGAGGTTCAATGCCTAAATCTATGAATTCCACTTTATTAGTATTGATTCCTAAGAAGGAAAATACATGTTCATTTGCTGATTTCAGACCTATAAGCTTATGTAATTTCTTATATAAGATCTTTACAAAGCTTCTTAATACTAGACTGTCTTCTCTGCTTCCTGCTTTAATTTCTGAAGAACAACATGGCTTTGTCCAAGGGAGAGGCATTGGAGATTGTGTGGCCTTGGGACAGTTGCTTGTTGGAGAATTAGACAGAAAGGTGGAAGGTGGGAACATGGTTATGAAGTTGGATATGATGAAAGCATATGACAGGATGGAATGGGATTTTTTGTTGAGGGTCCTGGCTGGCTCTGGTTTTTCTGATTTGTTCAATCAAATTATTTTGAATTGTTTGAGTAGCCAATTCTTTACCATATGTTTAAATGGACAAAGATATGGTTATTTTGCTAATTCAAGGGGGCTAAGGCAGGGAGATCCTCTCTCTCCCTCCTTATTCATCCTGGCTGAGGAAGTGCTGAGTAGAGGGTTGAGAAGAATTTATAACCAGAATTTGGTGAAACATTTCCATATTGGGAGAGGAACAACAATTGTTAGCCACTTGTTATTTGCTGATGATACTCTGATTTTTCTAAGAGGTAATAAATCCTCTGTTGTGAATGTTTTGCAATTTATTGAGTTGTATGAATCATGCTCTGGTCAGAAGGTTAACAAAATGAAAAGTGTTGTGTATTGTTCCAAGCTGATCTCTTTATCCAGAAGAAATAGGTTGGCTTCTGTGGTGGGGATTCCTTTTAAGGATTGTCCTTTTACCTATTTAGGTTGTCCTATTATCAGAGGAAGAGTTAAGAAATGCTACTTTGAAGAGGTGGTGAACAGCTTTAGAAAAAGACTTGAGGGTTGGTATGCCAGACTTCTATCTGGAATGGGAAGAGTGGTATTGGTACAGTCAGTACTCAGCTCAATCCCCATTCATATATTGGCTTGCTTGAATATTCCAAAAGGTATTTTAAGTAAGCTGAATTCTCTTATTGCTGATTTTATTTGGTCTAATCAAATTGGTTCCAGAAGGAGACATTGGGTGTCACTTAATGATATTTCTAAACCCAGAATAGAAGGTGGTTTGGGGATTAGAAGTTTTGATGAAGTTCAAATGGCATTCAGAATCAAACAAGTGTGGGGTATCCTAAAGGGTTCTTCTTTGTGGGCCAAAGTATTCAAAGAGAAGTTCTTTCAGGGGAAGCATATGCTAAGATGTGGTGTCAAAGGTGCAGGACTATCCTTTAATGTATTGAGACCCTGGTTCAGTTTCACAGTACAGAACTCATTGATAGTTGTTAGAAATGGTCATAGAACTGATTTTTGGTGTGATTCATGGATGGAAACTGGTCCCTTGATCCTTAGAGTGGAGAATCCTCCATTGATCTTTCCCAAGATAAATGAGTTATGGAATGGTGTGGCATGGCAGCTCAATGAGGTTGCTGAATGGCTTAATCCTCAGTTATGTTCTGAAATTGAAAGTGTGGTTTTTGGGAGATCTGAGGAATCTGATAAACTTATTTGGAAGCATACAACTTCAGGAGATTTTACTGTTAAATCTACTTGGAATCAGATCAGGAAAGTGGGGAACCATAATGATATTGCTAAAGGCATTTGGAAACAGAAAATTTTCCCTAGTGCTCAACTATGCACTTGGAAAATTTTCAGAAAAGCATTGACCTCTGATGATAGAATTCAAAATGTGGGTGTTGCAATGGCCAGTAAGTGTGTCATGTGTGGTGTGGCTGGGGAAAGTGCAGCTCATGTATTTATTGATTGCTCTTTAGCTCAAGCTGTCTGGAGTAAAGTTGCTACAATTATGGAATTTGATGTTTTTTCAGGAGAGGCTCCTTTATGCAGATTCTTGAGATTGTTAAGAAGGTTTAAAGCTGCTTCTCTCAGTCATAATCTAATAAGAGGGGTAACTATGTTAATTTTTTGGGCTTTGTGGAAGGAGAGATGTAGGAGGAAATATGAGGGAGTATTTTTAAATGCCAATGCCATTTTCCAACAAATAGTGAGTTCTTTAAGATGGCAGGCTTTTCTTATCAGACCTAGATCAAATGATGATGGTAAGGGAAAGGAGTTGTTGAGAGATTTGAGTATTAAAAATCCTTTTTCCTTAATCACCAAGGTTAAATGGATTAAATGGGAACTTCCTCCTGCAAATGTGCTAAAGCTTAATGTTGATGGTGCTTCTAAGGGTAAGACTGGATTGTCAGGTGGTGGGATGGTATTGAGAGATCATGAAGGTAAAGTAATTGTTGCAGCTTCCTGTTTTTATGGTATTGGTTCAAATATGTTAGTTGAATGTATGGCATTATTTGATGGTTTACTTCTGATTATGCAATATAGCCTGACAACATCTCAGATTATGGTGGAAACTGATTCTTATACTTTATTTCAAATGGTGAGAGGATTAGCTGCTGTTCCATGGAAGATGCAATATCTATTAGAAAGGATTAAGCTGTTGTTTAAATTTCTGAATTTGCAAATCAAGCACATTTATAGGGAAGCTAATGGTCTGGCTGACTTCTTAGCTTCCTTTGCTGTTAAATCAGAACAGTGCACTGAATTTTCTGCAAATAATATTCTGCCATCTATTGGGAGGGTTATAATGCAACAAGATTTATATGGATTTCCCTTTGCCAGATTGAAGAGATTGATATGTGAACAAAGAGAAGGTATTGGTTAAGCTTCTGTGTATACAGTATGAACTGCCTAGAAGCTGGAAAGTTGCAGCAACTCTAGGAAATCTGTATTCAATTTGCTTCATTCTAAAAGGGCTTCTATTTTGGTTCTTCTGCTGGTCGGATCTGTGCTGATTCTAGCAGTCCTCTGAGATGATTTATTAGAATCAAGAGCAGTTCTTCAGTATCTGTTGGTTGCTCCTTTTCCATTCTGCCTGAGCTATCTTCTGGACTTCTTTTGTGAGCTTTTGAGTGTGGATGATCAGGTTTTCTGATGTCATCATGTTCCCTTTTGCGTTTTATCTTGAAATGTTAAGAAGGATGCTGCTTCAGTACAGTTTTATAGGTGATATTTGATGTTTGGTCTCCTCTGCATCTGGTCATTCAGAAAAGTTGGTTATTAATGAATAGTGCATTTATGAGAGCTGTATCTGGACTAGCTCTGGTAGAAGGGTCTGGACAGCCTTCTGACTGCTTGGCATTCTGTTGCCAATGAATGTTTTATTGCAGATCTGGATTTTTGAGGGGATGGTTCTTATTAATGTTTTTGGCAGACTGTTGGGCTTCCACATGGGATTACTTCTAGCTTAGTCCTATACCTGCCTTTTCTTTCTGCTCATAGCATGGTCTGGAGTATGAAGTTCTATATGCTGGTTTTAGAGAGGATAATTGCCAGAAAAAGGAGACTACATATAGGGATCAAGCTACAGAATTACTTTTTTACCCTTACATAGTTTTCCTTTGTAATTTCTTTTACAGTTACTGTTTTTTATATTTTAACAGTACTGCTTTGCTTCTTGTAATTTCTGCATTTTATGGAATAAAATTTCTATTTTCAAAAAAAAAAAAAAAGAGTTTAGGGTTTAAGGTTTAGGATTTTGGGTTTAGGGTTTAGGAGAGGGGGCAGTTATTTCATTCTAGAGAGAGAAGGTCTGACTTCTCTCTAAAAACTTTTCAGATCTTCTTAATTTCTATATGTTTCTTCACTATTTTACTGGAATTCTTTGTAAATCTTAGTGGTTTTGATTAATCTAGCATGAATCTGGGCCAAGAACATCATCCAATTCCCCCAAAACCTCCAGACATCACCAAAAACTTTGCCTCATTGTTCAAAAAACCTCTTCCGCAAGACAACTTTCTCACTCTTCCTATTACTTCAGAGAACAACTCCTTGACAACTGTTGATCCTTTGGGAGGGAATAACACTATTTCTATGCCTCTTATCTCTCATGTTAATCGAAACAAGCCGACAGTTCAACTGTCCTCTGTTCTTCCTGCGAATGTTCAACTGGCCTCTGTTCTTCCTGCGAATGTGTCTACTGCTACGAACAATCAAATTTCTTCTACTGAGTTAGGAATTCAATTTCCTCCTTAGTCGTCTGTTAATCGAAACATGCAGAGAGTTACTGATAATCCTCAACCTTCTATGAAATCCCAATCTATTTCGGAAACTCAAGGCCCCTCGATGGATCGAGTTCTGCCAAACTCTCAGATTTCTAATCCTGAGAAAGAAATTCAGATTCCAGTTGTTATTTCGAATACTTAGAATCCATCTGATATTCAAATTCCTTCTGCTAAAATTGTCTTTGGTTCTTTAAATTCTGTGAATCCTCTTAATACTGCTAAGAGGGTAGTCTTTAATAAAGGTGAGCCTGGGATGTATTGGTCCCCTGTTGAAACCATGGAACTTTCTAAAGGTTTTTTTCAGACACTTATTGGTAAATGTGTTTTTATCAAATCTAGATGGCTTTTGAAAGGGGATTTTTCTGTAGGAGTGTTAGATCAGAGACATGTATTGATCAGATTTTCTCTCTATGAGGACTATGTTAAAGTGTGGCTGAAGGATACCACCTACATTGAGGGTTATCTGTTCAGGTTTTTCAAGTGGTTCCCAGAGTTTTACTCTGGAATTGAACCACCTGTTGTCCCAGTATGGGTATCCCTGCCTGGTCTTCCAATCCATTTATTTAATAGAGAAAGTTTGAGAGATATTTTAAGTCCAATTGGAAGGATTTTGGTGATAGATAATGCCACTCTGAACCTTTCTAGGCCTGGTGTAGCCAGAGCCTGTGTTGAAATGAATCTTTTAGCCAACAATCCTAAGAGATTTTGGTTAGATATGGGGGGAGTTAGTGGTCGATGGCAGAGGATAGTATATGAAAAAGAATATAGGTATTGTCCTACTTGTCTTAAGCAGGGGCATGATGAAATGTTGTGTAGAAGAAAGAAAAAAGTGGAAAGTGATACTTCTGATAAGCAGCAGGAAAAAGGAACTGAATTAACTCATGATGAGGAATGGAGGAAGAGAAAGGGTAAAGCTGTTGCAGTAGAGGGGCTGAGAGGGCAATCTAGAAAGGAATATAGACAGAAATCTATTCCTCAAACTACTGTTGTGGGGAATAGTTTTTCTGTGTTGAATGAAGAGATAGTTATAGAAAAACTGGAGATTGGGAAGGAATTGAATCTGAATGGTCAGGAAATATTACCTGACAGGGTTCCTGATAATGGAGGATCTTCCTCTGTTAAGGAGAAGGATGCTAGTGTTGCTGAACTACAGGGAGATGCTGCTAGAAATGATGTTGTAAATCTTGATAATCCTCAATTAATTTCTGATTGTGGAACTCAAGGAGTTGATAATGCTGTTATTGATGTTATCATATTGGAGGGAATTCAACACGAAAATAGTCCAGGAAAAACTCCTAAATCTGGGAATCAAATTCCAGTGAATATATCTTCTGTGGATGCTACTTTGGAGGTACTTTCTTTTACCTCCACTACTTTATTAGCTCCTGTGATTAATGAGGAGATTAATGATGAAATCAGTGGAGGGAATCTGTTAATTGATGTGGAAAATATAGTTCCTATTATTGAGGATATAAATAATGGAAATATAGTGGTCAAGGATAATATGGAGGTGATGGGGGAATGTAGGACCCTTTATGCTCAATCCTTGGGATCTTCTTTTCTAGTGGAACATGAATTTGATGTTAGGAAAGGAAGTCAATTTTCTTTAGATGACCAATCCGGATTGGTTAGGATGAGAGAACCACCAGATAAGGGTTATTATTCTGACCAGGCCAGTTCTAGATTTCAGAGAATTGTAAATGTTGAGTCTAATAACTCTGGGAGTTCCTTTGATGAAGATGATGATGCAAATGGACTTAGTTCCAGAGATATTCCTTCTCCTATGAACTGATGATTAATATCCTATCATGGAATATGAGAGGGGCAGGTAATGATTCCAAGAGGAGTAGATTAAAGAAGCTTATTAAATTGCATAATGTCTGTCTTGTTGCAGTTCAGGAACCTAAATTGTTGATTTCTAAATTGGTTCCTTTTGCTAGGAGTATTGGACTAGAACATTTCTGTTCTAATGCTCTAGCAGAAAGGAAAATTTGGATTTTATGGGATGAGAAAATCAAGTTGAAGATTTTATTTGAACATGATCAAGTTTTGACTATGGAAATAACATTTATGAATTCAATTGTTTTCTGGCTCTCAATTGTATATGCTAGCTGTGATCTTTTTACAAGAAGACTTTTATGGGAACATTTGTTGGAAATTAATGTTCCTTCTAATGTTCCTTGGATGGTAGTTGGAGATTTTAACTCCATTCTTTCTTCTGATGAAAGATTGGGGGGAGCTTCTCCTTCCTTGCTATCTATGGAGGATTTTGGTGATTTTTTGAATCAAAGGGGTTTGTTGGATGCTGGTTTTGTTGGAAATAAATTTACTTGGTGTGATAATAGGAATGGGGGTATCAGTATGAAGTAGAGGTTGGACAGAGCTCTAATTAATGCTAAATGGAATCTAGAGTTTGACAGTGTGGAAGTGGTTCATTTAGAAAGGGGTTCATCTGATCATAGTCCTTTATTATTGAAAATTATGGATGCTCTTGTATAGAACAGAATCTCCTATTTTAGATTTCAAGATATGTGGTGTGATCATGAGGGATTTCTGGACCTGATCAAAGCTAACTGGAATGGGACCTATTCAGATAATCCATGTTAAATTTGTTTATCAAGATGAAATATTCGAAGGCTCATATGAAGATTTGGAATAAAAATGTGTTTGGCAATCTTTTTGAAAAATTGAAAAAACTTGAACAAAAGATAAGTTTGGTAGAGCAGAAGTTAGATCAGAATTTTTCTGATTCAAAAGCCATGGAGTTAAAAGCTGTTAAAGAAGAGATTGATGATTGGTTAAGAAGAAAGGAAGCTTATTGGAAGCAAAAGTAAAATATAAGATGGGCTATACATGGGGAGAGAAATACTAGATTCTATCACTCTATTGCTAAAAGTATGAGTTGTTAGAAATAAAGTTTCAAGAATTAAAAATAAAGAAGGGGTCTGGGTGTATGGAGATAAGCAAGTGGCTGAGGTTGCTGAGGAATTTTATAATGACCTTTATAAGACAGAAAAGCATATCATCAGTGAACACATTCTTGCTGAAGTTATTCCTAAGCTTATCAGTCAAGAGGATAATAACAGGCTTACTGCTGCAGCCACTTTGGAGGAATTGAAAGATGTTGTTTTTTCAATGCCAATTGAAAGCGCCCTTGGGCCAGATGGTATGTCTGGTATGTTTTTTCAATTTGTCNTGAACTACAGGGAGATGCTGCTAGAAATGATGTTGTAAATCTTGATAATCCTCAATTAATTTCTGATTGTGGAACTCAAGGAGTTGATAATGTTGCTATTGCTGTTATCAGATTGGAGGGAATTCAACACGAAAATAGTCCAGGAAAAACTCCTAAATCTGGGAATCAAATTCCAGTGAATATATCTTCTGTGGATGCTACTTTGGAGGTACTTTCTTTTACCTCCACTACTTTATTAGCTCCTGTGATTAATGAGGAGATTAATGATGAAATCAGTGGAGGGAATCTTTTAACTGATGTGGAAAATATAGTTCCTATTATTGAGGATATAAATAATGGAAATATAGTGGTCAAGGATAATATGGAGGTTATGGGGGAATGTAGGACCCTTTATGCTCAATCCTTGGGATCTTCTTTTCTAGTGGAACATGAATTTGATGTTAGGAAAGGAAGTCAATTTTCTTTAGATGACCAATCCGGATTGGTTAGGATGAGAGAACCACCAGATAAGGGTTATTATTCTGACCAGGCCAGTTCTAGATTTCAGAGAATTGTAAATGTTGAATCTGATAATTCTGGGAGTTCCTTTGATGAAGATGATGATGCAAATGGACTTAGTTCCAGAGATATTCCTTCTCCTATGAACTTATGATTAATATCCTATCATGGAATATGAGAGGGGCAGGTAATGATTCCAAGAGGAGTAGATTAAAGAAGCTTATTAAATTGCATAATGTCTGTCTTGTTGCAGTTCAGGAACCTAAATTGTTGATTTCTAAATTGGTTCCTTTTGCTAGGAGTATTGGACTAGAACATTTCTGTTCTAATGCTCTTGCAGAAAGGAAAATTTGGATTTTATGGGATGAGAGAATCAAGTTGAAGATTTTATTTGAACATGATCAAGTTTTGACTGTGGAAATAACATTTATGAATTCAATTGTTTTCTGGCTCTCAATTGTATATGCTAGCTGTGATCTTTTTACAAGAAGACTTTTATGGGAACATTTGTTGGAAATTAATGTTCCTTCTAANAAGCTGGATATGATGAAAGCATATGACAGGATTGAATGGGATTTTTTGTTGAAGGTCCTTGCAAGATTTGGTTTTTCTGATTTGTTCAACCAAATAATTTTTAATTGTTTGAGTAGTCAATTCTTCACTATATGTTTAAATGGACAAAGATATGGTTATTTTGCTAATTCAAGAGGGCTAAGGCAGGGAGATCCTCTTTCTCCCACTTTGTTCATCTTGGCTGAGGAAGTGTTGAGTATAGGGCTAAGACAGATTTATAACCAGAATTTGGTAAAACATTTCCATATTGGGAGAGGAACAACAATTGTTAGCCACTTGTTATTTGCTGATGATACCTTGGTTTTTTTAAGAGGCAACAAAACTTCTGTATTGAATGTTCTGAAATTTGTTGAGTTGTATGAATCATGTTCTGGTCAGAAGATTAACAAATTGAAAAGTGTTGTGTATTGTTCTAAGCTAATTTCTTTGTCCAAAAGGAATAGATTGGCTTCTGTGGTGGGAATTCCTTTTAAAAATTGTCCTTTCAGTTATTTGGGCTGTCCTATTATCAGAGGAAGGGTCAAGAAATGCTATTTTGAAGAGGTGGTGAACCGCTTCAGGAAAAGACTGGAGGGTTGGTATGCTAGACTATTATCTGGAATGGGGAGGATTGTAATGGTGAAATCAGTACTTTGTTCAATTCTCATTCATATATTGGCTTGTTTAAATATTCCAAAAGGAATATTAAGTAAGCTGAATTCTTTGATTGCTGATTTTATTTGGTCTAATCAGAATGGTTCTAGGAGACGACATTGGGTCTCATTGAATGCTACTTCTAAACCCAAAATAGAAGGAGGATTGGGGATTAGAAGTTTTGATGAAGTTCAAATTGCATTTAGAATCAAACAGGTGTGGGGTATTTTAAAAGGATCTTCTTTGTGGGCTAAAGTCTTCAGAGAGAAATTTTTTCATGGGAAGCACATGATTAGATGTGGTAATTCTGGGGCTGGTCTCTCCTTTAATGTATTGAGGCCTTGGTTCAAATTCACAATACAGAATTCCTTGAAAATTGTTGGAAATTGTCAAGAAACTGATTTTTGGTGTGATCCATGGATGGAAAATGGCCCCTTGATTCTTAGAGTGGAGAACCCTCCATTGATCTTTCCTAAAATCAATGACTTATGGAATGGTGTGGAATGGCAGCTCAATGAGGTAGCTGAATGGCTTAATCCTCAGTTATGTACTGAGATTGAAAGTGTGACTTTTGTGAGGTCTGACAAAGCTAATAAACTTATTTGGAGACATACAAATTCAGGTGAGTTTACTATTAAATCTGATTGGAATCAGATTAGGAAAGAGGGCATCCAGAATGATATTGCTAAAGGCATTTGGAAACAGAAAATTTTTCCTAGTGCTCAACTATGCACTTGGAAAATATTCAGAAATGCTTTGACCTCTGATGATAGAATACAAAAAGTGGGTGTAGCTATGGCTAGCAAATGTTTAATGTGTGGTGTAGCAGAGGAAAATGTTGCTCATGTATTTGTTGATTGTTCTTTAGCTCAAGCAGTTTGGAGGAAAGTTGCTGCAGTTATGGGGTTTGATGTATTATCAGGAGATTCTCCTTTATGCAGATTTCTAAGATTGATAAGAAGGTTTAAAGCTTCTTCTCTCAGTCATAATCTAATAAGGGGTGTATCTATGTTAATCTTTTGGGCTCTGTGGAAGGAAAGGTGTAGGAGGAAGTATGAGGGAGTGTTTTTAAATGCACATGCAATTTTCCATCAAGTAGTGAGTTCTTTGAGATGGCAGGCTTTTCTTATCAGGCCTGGATCTAATGATGATTGTAAGGGAAATGAGCTCTTAAGAGATTTGAATATTAAAAATCCTTTTTCCTTAATCACAAAGGTCAAATGGATTAAATGGGAATTTCCTCCTACAAATGTGCTGAAGCTTAATGTTGATGGTGCTTATAAAAGTAAGTCTGGCTTGTCAAGTGGTGGGGTGGTGTTGAGGGATCATGAAGGCAGAGTAATTGTTGCAGCCTCTTGCTTTTATGGTATTGGTTCAAATATGTTAGCTGAATGTAAGGCATTGCTTGATGGATTAATATTGATTCTGCATCATGACTTATCAAAATCCCAGATTATGGTAGAATCTGATTCTCAAATATTAGTTCAAATGTTGAGTGGAGTAGCTGCTATTCCATGGAAGTTGCAAGATTTGGTGGAAAGGATTAAATTGTGTTTCAGCTTGTGGAATTTGCAAATCAAGCACATCTATAGGGAAGCTAATGGCCTGGCTGACTTCTTAGCTTCCTTTGCTGTTAAAACAGAGAAGTACATTGAATTTTCTGGAAATAATGCTCTGCCAATTACTGGGAAAGTTATACTGCAGCAAGATCAAAATGGGTTACCTATTGCCAGATTGAAGAAATTAATTTGTGATCACAGAAAGGGGATTGGTTGATTGGTTATTTGTTGAAAATAAGGACTGCTTAAAGCAGTTGACAGGGGTAGAAGGTACAGTAATTTTGGATATCATATTTGATTTATGATAAAGGAACAAATTGCATATATTGGGAATCATGGATCACACACAGACAAAGGGCTATTACTTTGATTCTTCTGTAGGATGGCACTGATCAGCTGAGTCAAGTAGTCCTCTGAGATGCTGTATTAGAAGCAGGACCAATTCTTCAACAGTCTCTGATGATAGCTCTATATTCTCATTTCTCAGGTTTGCTAGTCTTCCTGGGCTATCTTCTGGATTTCTTTTGTGGACTTTTGAATGATGAGGATCAGGTTTCCTTATTTCTTCTTGTTCCCTTTTGCATTTCATCTTGGANTCAAATTGCATTTAGAATCAAACAGGTGTGGGGTATTTTAAAAGGATCTTCTTTGTGGGCTAAAGTCTTCAGAGAGAAATTTTTTCATGGGAAGCACATGATTAGATGTGGTAATTCTGGGGCTGGTCTCTCCTTTAATGTATTGAGGCCTTGGTTCAAATTCACAATACAGAATTCCTTGAAAATTGTTGGAAATTGTCAAGAAACTGATTTTTGGTGTGATCCATGGATGGAAAATGGCCCCTTGATTCTTAGAGTGGAGAACCCTCCATTGATCTTTCCTAAAATCAATGACTTATGGAATGGTGTGGAGTGGCAGCTCAATGAGGTAGTTGAATGGCTTAATCCTCAGTTATGTACTGAGATTGAAAGTGTGACTTTTGTGAGGTCTGAAAAATCTGATAAACTTATTTGGAGACATACAAATTTAGGTGAGTTTACTATTAAATCTGCTTGGAATCAAAGTAGGAAAGAAGGAATCTAGAATGATATTGCTAAAGGCATTTGGAAACAGAAAATTTTTCCTAGTGCTCAACTATGCACTTGGAAAATCTTCAGAAATGCTTTGACCTCTGATGATAGAATACAAAAAGTGGGTGTAGCTATGGTTAGCAAATGCTTAATGTGTGGTGTAGCAGAGGAAAATGTTGCTCATGTATTTGTTGATTGTTCTTTAGCTCAAGCAGTTTGGAGGAAAGTTGCTGCAGTTATGGGGTTTGATGTATTATCAGGAGATTCTCCTTTATGCAGATTTCTAAGATTGATAAGAAGGTTTAAAGCTTCTTCTCTCAGTCATAATCTAATAAGGGGTGTATCTATGTTAATCTTTTGGGCTCTGTGGAAGGAAAGGTGTAGGAGGAAGTATGAGGGAGTGTTTTTAAATGCACATGCAATTTTCCATCAAGTAGTGAGTTCTTTGAGATGGCAGGCTTTTCTTATCAGGCCTGGATCTAATGATGATTGTAAGGGAAATGAGCTCTTAAGAGATTTGAATATTAAAAATCCTTTTTCCTTAATCACAAAGGTCAAATGGATTAAATGGGAATTTCCTCCTCCAAATGTGTTGAAGCTTAATGTTGATGGTGCTTATAAAAGTAAGACTGGCTTGTCAGGTGGTGGGGTGGTGTTGAGGGATCATGAAGGCAGAGTAATTGTTGCAGCCTCTTGCTTTTATGGTATTGGTTCAAATATGTTAGCTGAATGCAAGGCATTGCTTGATGGATTAATATTGATTCTGCATCATGACTTATCAGAACCCCAGATTATGGTAGAATCTGATTCTCAAATATTAGTTCAAATGTTGAGTGGAGTAGCTGCTATTCCATGGAAGTTGCAAGATTTGGTGGAAAGGATTAAATTGTGTTTCAGCTTGTGGAATTTGCAAATCAAGCACATCTATAGGGAAGCTAATGGTCTGGCTGACTTCTTAGCTTCCTTTGCTGTTAAAACAGAGAAGTACACTGAATTTTCTGGAAATAATGCTCTACTAATTACTGGGAAAGTTATACTGCAGCAAGATCAAAATGGGTTACCTATTGCCAGATTGAAGAAATTAATTTGTGACCACAGAAAGGGGATTGGTTGATTGGTTATTTGTTGAAAATAAGGACTGCTTAAAGCAGTTGACAGGGGTAGAAGGTACAGTAATTTTGGATATCATATTTGATTTATGATAAAGGAACAAATTGCATATATTGGGAATCATGGATCACACACAGACAAAGGGCTATTACTTTGATTCTTCTGTAGGATGGCACTGATCAGCTGAGTCAAGTAGTCCTCTGAGATGCTGTATTAGAAGCAGGACCAATTCTTCAACAGTCTCTGATGATAGCTCTATATTCTCATTTCTCAGGTTTGCTAGTCTTCCTGGGCTATCTTCTGGATTTCTTTTGTGGACTTTTGAATGATGAGGATCAGGTTTCCTTATTTCTTCTTGTTCCCTTTTGCATTTCATCTTGGAATGGTAAGGAGGATTCTTCTCCTGTTCAGTTTTATAGGGGATGTATTGGCGTTTGGATTTCTTTATTCTCTGCATCTGGTATTTAGAGGTTCTAGTTATTAATGAGCAAGTGCATGTTGGGGAGCTGTATCTGGAATATTTAACTCTGGCAGATGCATTTTGCTATTTGGATTCTGACTGCTTTACTCTCAGCTGGAAAATAAATACAAATGATGTAATGCTAATGTAGGACTGTCTTGGTTCTCTCCCTGAGCTGTATATTGTTGTTGTTCTGACTCTTCTGTGGTTCAGCTGGCTGATTAAGGCATCTTCTCAGGAATGTTTCAACTGGATGGAAAGAAGACATTACAGAGGGATTATGATNATCCTCAGTTATGTACTGAGATTGAAAGTGTGACTTTTGTGAGGTCTGACAAAGCTAATAAACTTATTTGGAGACATACAAATTCAGGTGAGTTTACTATTAAATCTGATTGGAATCAGATTAGGAAAGAGGGCATCCAGAATGATATTGCTAAAGGCATTTGGAAACAGAAAATTTTTCCTAGTGCTCAACTATGCACTTGGAAAATATTCAGAAATGCTTTGACCACTGATGNATTGAATTACCATTTTACCCTTGTATTGTTTTTGCTGTTATATGTTCAAAAGTCACTGTTTTTAGCTTAAAAATAGTGACTTTTTTGCTTCTTGTAATTCCTGCTTTTATTTAATAAAATTTTCCTTTTCAAAAAAAAAAAAAAGGGTTTAGGGTTTAGGGTTTAGGGTTTTAGGGTTTAGGGTTTAGGGTTTAGGAGGATAGGAGGTTTAGTTTCAATTCTAGAGAGAGAAACTCTCCCTTCTTTCTAAAATTTTTCCATTGATTTTCTGATTTTAATTCACTTTCTTGGTTCTTGTGTCTAATCTAGATTTTTTTGATCATTCTTTGGTTTTTTCTACATGGAATCGGGTACAATCCAGCATCCAATTCCCCCAAAACCCCCGGATATCAAGAAAAACTTTGCTTCTCTTTTCAAGAAACCCTCGGTCTCCGCGAACATTGGGAACATGGAGTCTTCTCGTTTTGATAAAAATTCTAGAAAAAACCTTTTGTCTTCAGCATGTTGCGTGGGTAATCGGTCTTCTGTACCTCTGACTTTACCTCTNTTAAGAGATTTGAATATTAAAAATCCTTTTTCCTTAATCACAAAGGTCAAATGGATTAAATGGGAATTTCCTCCTACAAATGTGCTGAAGCTTAATGTTGATGGTGCTTATAAAAGTAAGTCTGGCTTGTCAAGNGATTCTTTTTCCCCAAATTTCTCAAGAACCCGGTGTTTCTCACAGATCTTCAAACCCGCCGATTTCTCGATCTTCTTCTCTTCCTCAAATAAACTTTTTCGGCCAAGATTCATCAGGGATTCAGTATACTTTCTCGATTCAGAGCTCTCTGGTTCCTCAAACTTCTTTAGATCCTCATCTCTCTGTTCCACGACAATCTTCAATCGCGAATGTTCCTTCGGCTGATTCGGGTAACTCTTNGTAATTGTTGCAGCCTCTTGCTTTTATGGTATTGGTTCAAATATGTTAGCTGAATGTAAGGCATTGCTTGATGGATTAATATTGATTCTGCATCATGACTTATCAAAATCNCATCTCTCTGTTCCACGACAATCTTCAATCGCGAATGTTCCTTCGGCTGATTCGGGTAACTCTTCTCTGGGGAATGGTTTGTTAACTTCGGCTGGGATTCCCAAACCAGCGAAGAGGGTTGTTTACAACAATGGTGAACCCGAAATGTATTGGACTTCTGAAGAAACCTTAGAGTTGTTGAAGGGTTTCAATCAAACTCTAATTGGGAAATGCGCATATGGCAAACCTTCACTGAGGGTAATTAGAGAGTTTATTGCTACAAAGTGGCTTCCCAAGGGTGAATTCTCAATAGGTATTTTAGATCCTAGACACATACTCATTCGTTTTAGTCTTCTGGAGGATTATGTGAAGACATGGCTGAAAGATGCTACATATATAGATGGTTTTTTGTTCAGATTTTTTAAATGGTTTCCGGAATTTCTTCCAGGAATTGAACCTCCAATTGTTCCAATGTGGGTATCGCTGCCTGGGCTTCCTGTTCATCTCTTTAATAGAGAGAGTCTTCGAGATATTTTGAGTCCAATTGGGAAAATATTGGTATTTGATAATTCGACTTTGCAGCTGACTAGGCCAGAAGTGGCGAGGGTATGTGTTGAAGTTAACTTGTTGGAGTCTAATCCTAGAAGATTCTAGCTTGAGATGGGGGGAATAGTGGTAGATGGCAAAGAATAGTATATGAGAAGGATTGTAGGTATTGTGCTGCTTGTCTAAAATAGGGGCATGATGGAGATACTTGTAGGAAGAAGAGGATTGTAAAAGGGGATGAGGAGAAAGGAAGTGGGCAGAATGTGGAGGTAAACCTGCAAAAAGAGGTCAATATTCAGAATGGAGTGGATCATGTGGTGACTAATATTGCTGATAAAGGGAAAGGAATTGTACAGATTATGCCAGGAGGAAATCAAAAACAAGTTTTTAAAAGAAAGGAGGTTGTTCATAAGCCAGAGATTGGAAATAGATTTAGTGCTCTGGCTTTGGATGAACAGAGTCATGTTGTGGAAAGTGGAGAACATTTGATTGAGCCAGCTGTACGAATTGGGGAAAAAATTGTTCGCATGAAGTAGAAGAGGAAACCTCAGATGTTTCTAGTAGAGGAAATGTGGAAATTGAAGGGGTGGATAAAATAAATGATCGGATTACAGCAATGAATGTTGCTATTGAAGTTGATCAGGGTTCTAAAATGCAGATGAGAATGTCAAAATCAGGGGGAGATACTGTAAATGTTTCTTTAGTTGTGAGGGGGGTGCAAGAGTCTGACTCTTGTGAGGAGATTAGAGAGTCAGATTTACCTGAAAGTCAGGGGTAGAAGGAGAGGTATCAGTTACGTTAATGGGGAAAGGGAGTAGGGATGATTGTGTATTGTTAGTTGAAAGAGAAGTTTCTTTTCATGTAAACGAGAAGTCTTCTTCTTTTACTGGAAATGAGGGAGGAAAAAGTGGGAAGATGAAAGAAAAGGAGATAGGGGAGGGAATAGGTGAGATTGTATGTTGTTTAAACAAGCAAGTATCTATATCCTCAGATTCTTCTTTTTTTGTGGATAGACATTATGATGTTAGACAGTTGTTGCAAGTATCTCAGGATGATAATGATGGTTTGGTAAAAGGTAAAGAGCTACTTGAGAAAGGATTTTTATCTGATCAAGATAGTTCAAAGACTTGGGCGGATTTATCGAAAAGATTTTCTGATGATGATGAGGTCCATGATTTGGAAATAAGGCAGAGTCCTGAGGTTAATCCCGAACACACGTCTTTGTTATGAATTTTATAATGTGGAATGTGAGAGGGGCAGGAAATGAAAGTATGAGAACCAGACTAAAAAAGCTTGTGTTGATGAATAATGTTGGTCTTTTGGCTGTGCTAGAACCTAAGATGTTGTTAGTAAGGATGAGATCTTTTTCTGTTTCAGTGGGTTTGCATTTCTTTGTTGCAAATACTCAAGCTGAGAAGAATATATGGTTGTTTTGGAAGAAGGGTGTGGATGTACAGGTGATTTTGGAGCATGAGCAGGCTCTTACTGTTTCTGTTAGGTTCTTGGATTCAGACCCATTTATTTTGACAGTTGTGTATGCTTGTTGCGATTATTTGTTGAGGAGGCCTTTATGGCAACACATACAAGTGATTTCTTCTTCCTTTTCTTTGCCTTGGTTACTAATGGGAGATTTTAACACGGTATTGAATTCTGCGGAGAGATTGGGGGGTGCTTATCCTTCTGTTGTTGCGATGGAGGAGTTTGGTGAATGTATACAATCGGCTGGGCTGGTGGATTGTGGTTTTGAGGGTAGTAGCTACACTTGGTGTAACAATCATCATGGGGGAACAAAAATGTGGCAGCGTTTGGATAGGGTTTTTTTAAATCCTGTTTGGTCTGCCAGGTTTGATAACTCTCATGTGGTACATTTAGCAAGAGGAAGCTTAGATCATTGTCCTTTATTGGTAAAGATCATGGAAAAAGAAGGGCATCATAGAATTTATTATTTTAAATTTTTGGATATGTGGACTGAGGAAGCCTCCTTTTTGCCTCTAGTTGTGGATGCGTGGCGTGGATGTTTCTCTAGCAATCCTATTGAGGATTTTTTTTCTAAAGCTAAAATTTCTTAAAGTTCGTTTGAGGAGTTGGAATAAAGAAGTTTTTGGGAATATTTTTGAAAAAATTAAGTTGCAGGAGTTGGAAGTGTGTAATGCTGAAAGAACACTGGAATCTGACTATTCAGAGGACAGTCTTTTGAAACTGGAAAAAGCAAGAAAGAGTTTGGATGATACTTTGCGGTTGGAAGAAATATTTTGGAGGCAAAAAGCAAATGTAAAATGGGCCTTAGAAGGAGAAAGAAATACGAAGTTTTATCATGCTATAGCGAAAGGGAAGGCTGTCAGAAACAGAATAAAAAGAATTAAATGTGAGGATGGGAGCTGGGCTTGCTCTGAGGATGAAATTGCTGATCAAGCAGTGTCTTACTTTACGTCTTTATACAAAGCTGAGGTTCATGTCCTGGATGATGTTCTGTTTGAGGTAATTCCGAATCTTGTAAGTGATGCAGATAATGAGTCGCTTACTAGTCTTGCTTCTATGGAAGAATTGAAGGGTGTGGTGTTTTCAATGGCAGTGGAAAGTGCACCAGGTGCTGATGGTTTCTCTGGGAAGTTTTTTCAGGCTGCTTGGGAAGTGATTAAGGTAGATTTGTTAACAGCTGCAAATTTTTTTCTAAAAGGTGGAGTAGTGCCAAGGTCGGTGAATGCCACTTTGTTGGCATTGATTCCATAGAAATTAAATCCAACAAGCTTTGCAGAGTTCAGACCTATTAGTTTATGCAATTTTTTGTATAAAATATTTACAAAATTGCTTACTAATAGACTAGTTGTTCTTTTGCCTTCTTTGGTATCGGATGCTCAGCATGGTTTTGTGAAAGGGTGAAGTATAGGGGAATGTATTTCACTGGCGCAGTACATGGTTTCTGAATTGGATAGAAAAGTAGAGGCAGGGAATGTAATTGTTAAATTGGACATGATGAAGGCCTACGATCGTATTGAGTGGGATTTTCTGAAACAAACCTTAAGGCATTTTGGTTTTTCTGATATGTTTGTGTCCATTATTGGAAATTGTTTGAATAATCAATTCATCTCAGTGTGTCTAAATGGTCAGAGAAAAGGTTTTTTTCCCACATCACGGGGATTGAGGCAAGGGGATCCATTATCCCCGTTGCTTTTTATTCTGGCAGAGGAGGTATTAAGTAGGGGGTTGTCGAAGTTGTTTATTGAAAGGAAGATTAAGTCTTTTCACACAGGAAGAGGAGCTTTAATGGTTTCGCATTTGCTATTTGCTGATGATATGCTGCTATTCTTGAAAGGAAATAAAACTTCGATGGAGATTTTGTTTTCTTTCTTGAGCAAGTATGAAGGTTGTTCGGGGCAGAGGATTAGCAGGCCAAAAAGTTCTATGTTTTGTTCTGCAAAGATTTCCCAGGCCAAAAAGTTCTATGTTTTATCAAGAGTTGCTCAGATTCCTATAAAAGAATGCCCTTTTACATACTTGGGTTGTCCTATGATTAAGGGAAGGAGCAGAATTAGAGATTATGAAGATCTTGTTCTTAAATTTAAAGCAAAGCTGGAAGGATGGTATGCGAAATTGCTGTCTAATATGGGAAGAGTGGTTTTGGTACAGAATGTTTTAAATGCGGTACCAGTGCATCTGTTGTCTTGTTTAAATTTGCCCAAAGGTATCTTAACTAGAATAAATTCCTTGATGGCATCTTTTGTTTGGTCGGGTAAAGAGGGAGTTAGAAAGAGACATTTGGTTTCTTGGAATGATATAACAAGACCAAAGCAGGAGGGTGGCTTGGGAATTCGAAGATTTGAAGATGTTCAAGCTGCATTTCGAATGAAGCAGGTCTGGAGTATTTTGCAGGGAAAATCCTTGTGGGCTAAGGTTTTCTGTGCAAGATTTTTGAAGAATCAGCATGTGTTGAGGCATTTGGGGCAAGGAAAAGCGAAAATTCTTAGAATGTTGAAACCATGGTTTTCATCTGTGGTTTCTCATTCTTGTTTTATTGTTGGAAATGGGGAACTAGTGGATTTTTGGTGTTCTAATTGGCTTAATACTGGGCCGTTGTTAAATAGATTGGGCACTATGCCTTAGCATTTTCCGCGAGTTGCAGAGGTCTACTCAGAAGGAGTTTGGCAGTGGCAGAAGTTGGGAGGTCTGGTGGATGATAATATGAAAGAGGAGATACTAAATTCGAGAATTGTTCTGTCTGATAGGCCTGATTTTCTGGTATGGAAATTGAATGATTCTGGGAAATTTTCGGTTAAATCAGCTTGGCAGGTGGTAAGGCATGTTGTGAATGAAGATGTAGTGGCTATATCAATATGGGATCAGGCTGCTCCTCCTAGTGCTAAGTTGTTTTGCTGGAAAATTAGAAAAGGTGCAGTGGCTTTGGATGTTCGTTTTCAGAGGATGGGGGTGAAATTAGCGAGTAGATGTTCGCTATGTTATAAAGCAATGGAATCCTCATATGTTTATACGCTGTGACTTTGCTGTGAAGGTATGGAATTATCTGGCTGGTTTTTTTGGATTCACTTTGATTGAGAATGAAGGTCCTATGGGAAGATTAATGAGATTAATAAGAATCTTTAAAAAACAGTCACTTAGCCATATCCTAATCAGGAGTGTGGCTTTGGTTGTTCTTTGGTTATTATGGAGGGAGAGATGTAAAAGGGTTTATGGGGAAGGCAGTCAGTCTGCCCTTTCTATTTTTCAAAAAACTTGCACTGTTATCAAGCTACAAGCTTTCAGTATTCGGCCGAAAGTTCCTGACAGCATACATGGGGGAAAATTTTTGCAGGAATTGGGGGTTATCAGTGGTGGAAAAATTCAAATAAAAACAATGTGGGTTAATTGATCCTGTCCAATGGAGGGGTGTTTGAAGTTAAATGTGGATGGAGCCTCGAAAGGGAATCCGGGACGTGCTGGAGGAGGTGCTGTGATTCGAAATCAGTAGGGTGATTTGGTAGTTGCAGGGTCTTTCTTTTATGGAAATTGTTCTAATATGGAGGCAGAGTTAAGGGCATTGAAAGATGGTATATGTCTTGTTGAGAAATATGATTTGCAGGGTTACAGAATTCAAGTGGAAGCTGATTCTAAAATGATGGTTAACATGATATTGAAGGGGCATTTACGTGCTTGGAAATATAGGGCACTTCTGCAGCAAATAAAGGAAATTTTGGGGAGATTAAATTTTCAATTGATACATGTCTATAGAGAAGGAAATTCGACAGCCGACTTCTTTGCAAACTGGGCAGTGCAATGTGGATCTTCCTTGGAGTTTTCTGCTGCTTTGGACATTCCTCATACTGCTAGAAGGCTGTTGCTGCTTGACAAGCAAATGCATAAAACTTTAAGAAAGAAAAATGTATTTTCTTAAATCTCATTGTATAGCTTGGTATATTCAATCTGTAAAAAAACAGGAATGTCTGTTTTTTCTTGGTTTGTAAAATTTTGGTGATGGAATAAAAGTGCGCCGGTTTTTTAAAAAAAAAAAAAAGGGTTTAGGGTTTAGGGTTTAGGATTTAGG